GAGCTGAAGAATTATATGGAAAATGACATAATTTGTTCAATAGTCAATAAAAATTTCTAACATACAAATAAGTTGCATATGCATAAAAATTAAATGAATAATGTAAAAACATATCAGAACAAGCCAAATAAGTCAATATATATTGTAACATTAAATAGGACTATTACTTTAATAGCTTTTTCTACATACAATTTTTTACTGCATATTTGTCTCAAAAGCTATATAAGAAGACCCTGAGAGTCCCAATTTCTCTTTTTTTTAAATATTCACCTGATAATGTCAATCATCTATAGGTTTATGTATTTATTTTAAAAACAAAGAAATTTTGTATGTGTTGCATTAAATTTATACCTAAATAAATACAAATACAAATATTGTTTATTGTCCCAACACAAAACAACAAAAAAATAAAAATTTATGGAAATTAAGGACAAAGAGCGACTTTATAGCTAAATAGCTTTATCTTTCAAGCAACCATGGTAGAAATGACAAGTACAGTAATAAAAACTTCTAACTTTACTTGTAGTACATTTTAAATAATAGTGAAAGTTGTTAGTCTGTGTAAAATACCTTGGAGAGGCGGTTTATTTTTATTTTTAGTATTGTAAACACTGTTTGGTTACTTACAAGCGATATGTACACAGAGTGTGGTAAGTCATCAAATATGTACATAATTTGAGTTTATTGTAGTATTTCTTTTTCTCATTTTGCTTAGTCACCCTCCTCAGAGAGTCACACTGTAGTGTAACAGTGTTCTGACTAGTCGTGTCGCGCGAATTTTGCGCCTAATCTCATAATTATTGAAATAAAAATGAATAAAGGTGACTTATTCACAAGGGATTTTGTGTTCACAATATATTTAAGCAATAATTATTGGTTCAATATAACCACAAAGGTGTATTATTTGTGTTGTGTTTTAATGATATTTGGAAAGTTTTTGTGATTGTTGGAAATTTTGATTTGGATTTAATTCTGTACAAAATGACGGGGTCTTATTTTATTTGTGGTAATGTATATTGCTTCTTTTTTGTATCTAAAGTAGAAAAATATAAAAAAAGTTGAAAGTTAGGTCAAGAGACACAAGTATTTAAGTTAGGTTTCATAATAGACTTAGATGAATTTTAAAATGACAAAAAAATTATCTTACTATAGGTCTAATTATATTATATTGAAAATAAATTAAATTATATTTTCACTTAAGCATAATATGTAAAGATATTTTAAACATTTATTAGTTTTGATTTTAATAATTTCTGAACTGTTTTTAACCTGCACTAAGCAACCACATTTGATAATTTAATTCTTTAAAATTTTCATATGTTATACCGAATCTGTCGTGGTTCCGACTTCCTACTGCGTTTAACTTTTTTTTTTTTTTTCATTCGTTTCTTGTTCTTTTGTGAAATATTTCACAAACCCATCTAAAAGTAACATTTAGGTTATTTTTTACTTATATTTAATAAATAACAGTTTTACATCAATATTCTTAACAAGATTTTGTTTTTAGACAACATGGAGACGGACGATGAGAGTCGCCGAGGCAACCTTTTAGACGACATGCCCCCCTATTAACTGCGATGTGATGCTGGACACTGTTTACGGCAGCAGCAAAGACATCGGCGATACGACGTTTTGTTTGGGAAACTATATACCGGATTTTATGAAGGTAAACTTGACTTAATATACTATGCCATGAGATAGTTTTAATATTAGAAATCTGTGTCAATATTAGTAGATTGTAGAAATATATATTTTAAAAATATATTATTGGTGATCCTAATAAATGTTCTTAAAGGCAACCTCTAACAATTCTATGTTTTTAAGACATACTATACCTCAGGCCGTCAATAGTAGATATTAAAACCCGAAAATATATGCATTTTTATAAATTTTTAAGTATGTGAGTGACCTCTTTTACACTATAACAATTTTTTGTTATAATAAACGTAATAGTTGATTTTAGGATGTGTTTTAATTCAGAACTTTATTGTTTTTTATAATACAGTGTTTTTATCAATTTAATTTAAGGCATGAGTCATACATTTTTATCAATAAAGATAAATTTGCGTGGTGCATTTTCTCTGCGGCACCTCATGTGACGCAGTTAACCACCAATTATGATTGGTTTCTCTAAAAGCATATAGCACCATGTAATGACGCCGAATCTCTCACTTTACCGCCTCTGTGATTCTCACGTTTTTGAACGTTTAACGTTTAGTGTAAACTAAATGGATATTCAAAACAGTTACAGTAGTCTGTATAGTAGTTTGTCATACAGACAGAGGATACTTTTATGTTTTGACTGTTAAGCGATGCGTATTCTACGTAGATGCTATAAATTAGTATCTAAATCTTATGACCTACATAGAGTACATTAAACTCTTAGTGTTTTGTAAACAAAATTGAACAGATAAGGCAACGCAATTTTTTTTTCTGATACATTTACTTTATAGATCTTTGAACACGTCAAAGATTTGTAGATCCTTGATTTGAGGGGTACTAGAACCTGTGAATGACTATGTTCCGTCTCGTTTCATTGCCAAGCGAGCCACGAAATACATAACATGACTATCTGAAAAGCCGAAGTACCACAGCATATAATATATATAACATTTAATCCATCCTATAATATAGTGCTTTTGACTACAGAATGTTATTCGTAGTAAAGGAATAATATAGGTTTTTCCTATATTATATATACTTGCGTCGCTATTGTATCTGCAAGTCATGCCACTAATTACCAATATTTGCACAGTTATTTCAGTTAACGTACGATAAGAGACGATAACTGAAATATCATCGTAGATTTAATAAAAGTGAATAATTTAACGTGTAAACGTCTACTGCCGTAGAGCATCCGAAATCTCGGAACGTAGGAAAAAGTAATATTCATGATTCACATGTTCAAAAACCTATATCAAAGACGAATTGGGATTAAGTTTGTTAAAGGAAACATTTAGAGATCAAAGTCTAGGTAGATACGTTCAATTTTTGATAGGTAAACGCGAGAGTACCTCGGTTCGAATCCCGCACAAAAATTTCGACAACTACTTGGTTCAAATAAAATTAACCAATAAAACGGACACTTTAATGTCTGCCCCATGCTCCAAAAAGGGAAACGGGATGGCGTATTCACATATTTATTAGTGTTTGTAATACGATGTTGTAACACGAATCCGAAGGTCGCTTGCGTTTTTTTTTAATATATTATATACTGTTACTTTGTCTTAATGTGACTGTGACACAGAAAAATTCACATTTTTATTTATGATGTCATGCACGTTCAAGTTTTATCAAACTTAAAATATATAAATGGATTTTGTTTCGAAGAGGTACGAACGCGCTTATCTAGTCTACAAATATTTTGATGTATGGTGCGAGTGTTTTTGTAAAACACGATAAGATTTAACATTTGTAGAAAATTAAATTTTAAGAAAGAATATTTGGAAGTTACAATATAAGTCTCTTTAAATTGTAAAAAATGTTTCACCTCTTATCAATTGATCTACCGTGTCGAACACGTCATAGTCGAATTTCTTTAACCCTTAAGTCAATCGTGCATTTAATTGTGTCACCTCTCGCGCAATGTAACTTTTAACTTTAATACTTACTTATTGAGGTTCAAGTCCCCCACGTGTCGTCAATTTTCTTCTATCTAAATATATTTTTAATTTATATAATGCCGTCATGCGCAATAAAATGTGAAAAATATAAGTTTTCAAATCCTAAAGTTACTTAGCTGAGGTAACGCAAATTATCATGACTCAACACATTCTCGCGCGCTCATGGAGATTTATAATTTAACGCCATCTGATACGGAGTCTATTGAAAAAGTAAATTTTTATGCTAAAATTGTGAATAATTAAATATTTAATGGGAATGACGTAAAAATGCTTAATAATCGTTACTAAGGACAAAATGATATTGCACTCTTTTACTGTTTCTTGCGCCCATTGGAATTACGATAACCTATACTAATAGTATAAATCTGAAGAATTTGTTTGTTTGTTTGAACGCGCTATCCCCGTAACTATTTTCTAATAGAAAAAATATTTTTGTTTGTTACTCACATCACGCTGTGTGTAATAAGAGCGAAGAAACGGTAAAACGGAACCAGGGAAAATGAGTCATCTTTGAGGATTACCCTTGGCGTACGAAAACGGTTCAAGAAAACATTTAAAAAAGGTCCGCCACACCTTTTAATTTGTGATGATTAACTTGCTAACGAAAGCATACGAACGAGGTCGTGGGTAACAGCCCAGGTAGTTGCTATAATGTATAAAGTCCAAAATATTCTACGCGGACGAGGGTGCCTTTCTGGTTGGAACCAACCTCTGAAACGCTAAATCCCCCTGTCATAAAACATTTGTAATTTGTTAGGAAGCTTCAAGCTCATTTCTTAATTTATGTATAGACTAGCTGTGGCCGCCGGACTTCGTTCGCTGTAATAGTGACCCTAGGGTAGAATATTTAATTATTTAGGCTGTTTATTAATTTATGTATTTGCGTATTTATCGCACCAATCTATGTCGTAAGTGCTACTTTACCGCAACACTCTCACCTCACCTCACCTCCTACTCCCCCCCCCACTCCCACCCCCAATCCCACTCCTATTCTCAAAACCCAAAAAAAAAAGCCTAAGAAGAAAATTTCAATTTTCCTATCTTCAAAAACCACGAATTTCCATACAAACTTTCAACCTTCAACCCCTTTCTCAAAACAGTGCCTATGTTCTTTCTCAGGGTCTAGACCATATGTGTACCAAATTTCATTCAAACCCGTTCAGTAGTTTTGGCGTGAAAGAGTAACAGACAGACAGAGTTACTTTCGCATTTCGCAAGAATAATATTATTAAGGATATCTTATTTTCCCAGATGCTGTTCACAATGCGGTCCCATCACATGTTGACTGACGTCGTTTTAGAAGTCGGCAATGAGTTGTTTCACGTCCACAAAGTTGTCCTCGCCGCTGGGAGCCCTTACTTCAAGGTTAATTAATATCTATGATATAAGAAATAAATAAATAAGTTAAGAGAACATTACTACATAACTTAACAAGTACTAAAGAACACAGGGAGTAATTAAAAACAAAAACGCGTGCGCGCTTGTGTGTCTGCGTGTTATTGACATACAAAATGTACCTTATTTCTAATTATTTAAAGTTTTTAGTATTTTTTACAGCAACAACACGGAACGCTGGGGATGCCGGTTCGAGTCCTGCCCTTGACGTAAAATTGTTTTCAATCTAAAATCGATTTTTAATTTCCTTTTATTTTAGTTTAAATGTTGCATTTTAGGCTTTCGCAAATGTATTAACGATATATGGATTCGTTTTTATAAAGTTTCCGATTTTTAGTTCCATAAAAACGGGATTTCCATACAGTTCCAAAAGTTCTTTGTTAGCAACTACGCACTGTCTTCAGGTTACGCGAGTAGTACACATTAAAACAAAACATTAAAACGATTGAAAAAGCGGTACATTTTAGCGAAAAGTCGGGCCGTATTTTATATAATCATCAAATAAATTTAACTTATATTTATCGCGTCTTAAACCGTTAAAGTGTGATATTGAAAAGAACTACGTATAAATTAAAATAGTGGTACAGGCCATGTTCACGAGCGGCCTGAAGGAGAGCGAGATGTCTCGAGTGCGGTTGCAGGGCGTGTGTCCGTCTGCCATGGCGTGGCTGGTCTACTTCATGTACACTGGGAAGGTCCGGATCACAGAAGTCACGGTGTGCCAGTTGCTACCAGCCGCCACTATGTTCCAGGTACTTTTTTACCCGAACTATACTAATATATTGAGCTGAAGAGTTTGTTTGTTTGAGCGCGCAAATCTCAGAAACTACTGGTTCGAAATAAAAAAATCTTTTTGTTTTGGTTAGAGCAATTATTGAGGAGGGCATCACGCTGCGAATAATAGGCACGAATTATTCCTCTTTCAATTATCTGAAAAAAATGTCCGCGCCAATATATGTTTATCTTTTGAGATTAACTTACAAGAAGGACGGGACGAAGTCGCTGGCACAGCTAGTAGAATATAGAAAGTATATATGTACCATTATAACGCTAACGCTGCTGAACCGATTAAAATGTGCTTGGTCAGTTATGGTCCGACGATATGACAAAATTGAAATTGTTAAATCTCGAAGACGTAGGATAATAATCGTAAAGTAAGTTGTAATTTGTAAATAGTAAGTTGTATACATATAACATATCATTTAGTTGAGTAGTTTGTCCGTTGCAGTCATGTTAAAGGACACAAACAAATTTTAATAGAAGAGTTGTCCAAGCAAAATAATGTTATAAGTAGAAATGTCTGCATTGGATTCGATTTCAACACCCAATGACGGGATGTTACCCATCGAAACCTATCTATCTTATCTTAATACCTCATATTACTTTTACGCAATTATAACGTAGGTATTTCCTGTTACTTCTTATTATTGTTATTTATCTATTACGAAATAAGTTATATAATTATACTACGTTGATTGTAACATCATGCCTAGCCTATAAAAACGTCAGAATAAAATAATTCAGGGGCAGTTTAATGCCTGAAATCATGTACAATAATATCATTACAGCTCATATTAGGTATAGCATTTGTTTTGCTCCTAGAGTCGATTTCGGCGGATTAAAATGATTTCGGTCGGGCAAGGCACAGAAGAGGGATCCCCCATTATTCAGTGTTACGAATACATGCCCCATAAAGTTTGCTTGTGACGCCACTGCACTTTTACGCGGTACCCATACAATATATATGTCCATTGATAGTGTATCAAGGGACATTATATTGCAGTCATATGCCGCAGATATCAAATGTCATAGACGCCTGCTGCGCCTTCCTCGAGCGGCAATTGGACCCCTCCAACGCGATCGGCATCGCCAACTTCGCGGAGCAACACGGCTGCGTGGAGCTGAAGCAGAAGGCCAACCAGTTCATCGAGAGAAATTTCATACAGGTATGTACTGTGCCGGTATTATACACTTTTTGTAAGATTGAAGAGGGCAGCCAAGCCATGCGCCCGTCAAAACCGTACAATGAGGAATTATAAAAATTGGTTCACCAATTTGATAAAAATTAGTCTAGGTAACGCCGGATAAAATTCCTTTTTTATGTAAAAATCTCTAATCAATGCTTAATCAATTTTAATTATTGTGTATCGGTGACGTAAAGTGCGTCAAGCGATCTACGAGGAAAATACTAAATTTATTGCAGTTCATAATTATTAAAAAAAATTATGCATAAAGATTCTTAATTTAATTGCGGCATTTTTAATAAAAGTTGACATTTCAACAAAAATCAATTACAATCTTAATAAATATAAAACTAATTAAATTTATAAAAAACTATCACGTCAACAATAAAATTTCATACAACTTTGCAACTCGTTCACGGTGCTTACAACAATGACATCTGGTTTGACGTTAGGTAAAGAAAGCAATGACGCGGTCAACTTCACAGGTGTAATATAAACATTAGCATAATTTACGTTTGAGTTGAACCCAAGGATTTTTTATGGTTTCACGATAGAGAGCGAAGAAACAATTGTCTATTGCTAATTAACCAAAGTTTTAATACGTAGACTGCATGACTGACATATTTCGCTTATAGAATTCTAATCAATTCACAGTAGGGAAAACAATCGTTAAAGCGGCTATTCAAGGAGCTAAAGTGATTAACGCCAAGGACAATGTAAATTATTCACTGACTCATTTTTGATACTGTATTTATTGATGGAGTGCTTTCATAGATCCTATGGGCGCCGTTGGTCGCGTTCAAATTATATGGTAAACGGTAGTATAATGGAGTTTCTTTGTAATCTTCTTTCTACGCTAACTGATCGTTAGAGCATGGAAGTTGCAGGTCTTAGGAGGAACGCCTCTAGTTAATTTTAATAGCCAAAAAACTAACACCCCTGAATCTTTAGAAAATTTCTAATTATTACTTACTAGCTGTGACAGTGACTTTGTCCGCGAAATGCGTTATCCAAATTCATTTTTGCAAACCTCTTCATCTTTATAAACTTAAGCTGTTACCCACGAGGTCATTTCTGTTCTTGCAAGATAGACATATAGCGTCGCGGATTTTTTTAGATCATTTCAAGAGGAATCATTCTTTTTTTTATACATTTTTTTTGGGTATCTTGAAACGTTTTTGCAGCGTACCAAAATAATTTTCCAATTTTTTTATACACATTTCTGGCTGTATCTTAGCTTGTATAAGTCACAGGGTTCTATTTGCCTGTGGTGCCTTCCTCAATAAATACTCTAACCAACACAACTTAAAATATTTTTTTTTAAATTTGAACCCGTAGTTCCTGAGATTAGCGCGTTCAAACATACAAACAAACTCTTCAGCTTTATATATTAGTATAGATAGATTCACTTAAAAAGTTCCTCGAAAAATTTTCTGGCTGAGGTCTATAAAAACAGTTAGCAGTGGGTGTTACAAGTTGAACTCTGACTATAGGTGACATATGATCATGTTTAAAGTTTCAGACAAATTGTATAAAAGTGATTTGTCATCGCATACGCCACAAGGTGTTGTGTGTTCCAAATTATTAAGCAATATTTATGACACAAGATTAAGTCATAATTAATTTTAAGATCAATTAAAACCCAGTTGTCGCAATGGTATGTTGGTAATTTTATTTTATTTGACTTACAGGTGTGTCAAGAGGAAGAATTCCTTCAGCTAACCGCGCCTGAACTAATAAGTCTGATTCGAAAGGATGAGTTGAACGTGCGAGAAGAGAGAGAGGTCTACAATGCTGTATTAAGTTGGGTTAGTATTAAAGATCATATCTGACACAAACCAAATACTGTCCCCGTACGTTTTGCCCACCATAGGAAAAAAAATACAAACTATAATTCAGACTAGTATAAGTAACATATTATTTTCTATTTTTTAGAAATCTGATCAACTTCTATCCTGTAAATCTAAGTGATCAAAACAAGCACAGATATATTTCTCTCTGTCCACAGAAAATGGGGTAATCAAGTAAAAAATAATACACAATTCAATAGAACTTTTATATTATTTTTAGTGTAAATAGATCAATTGTTAAAATTGAGTATATAGTTTTCAAAGAGTAAATAACTCCCCAAATAAGAACATAAAAGCAAAATCACAATAAGCAATATAAAGTACAAAAGTCAAAACAATAATCTTATCTAACTCGTTAACGTGCTGTTTTATTTACTGCGATTAAAATAAAGCCACAATAACGATAGCAAGTCATCGTCTGGTCATTCTTTTAATAAGATTCCGAATCTGTTGTTCCAAGAGTTAGGTCATTTGTTTTTAAGATAATTCTATAATAAGATAAGGTAGCTGATCAGGATGGTCGTGGCTTTGATCTTCTGTTTCTCTTCAAAAAAAATTGTCGAATGCGCGTTTAACATCGTTTCATTCGCTTTCGTTAGTAAATATTTCATTTTAAACTAAAACGCCCCAAGCTTACGATTCAATATAGATATTAGCAGCGTAGATTTTTAAATATAGCCACCCTACTTAAACTAATAAAATTAAACCAAAAAAAAATATTTATATATATATATATAAACATTTCAACGGTTTAAATCGCGAAATAAATGAGTTTAACTGGTTAAAGTGTGTTCTTTAAATGTGTACTCGCGTAAACTACAGACATGATTCAATTATATAAGGATCCAATTTTTATATTAATACAGTTAAATATTTTTCAGTTTTGAACAAGAATCAGTATAACACATCGACAGATAATGATAAAAATGAAATACTTCGAAACGCGTACTTATTATCATCTAACCATGACCGTGTCGTTTTAGAGCCTTATCTCTGACGAAAGTGACGATGTGACTATTAAAAATTTACGTACAATGACAGCGTACCTTCCTATTTACAATTCATATACACGCTTAGTCCAAAGCAGTGAATGATTGTGGTTGCTATGATAACGTAATTCACGAAGTCATTTTCTAATAATTCCTTTTGTGATGCCTTACTTAATGGTTACTGAATAATATATTTGGTTTTTCGTTCGACTCGTGTGATTAATGCCTATTTTTTCATTATTTGTTTGTGTATTTCTGTTAGAAAAAAGTTCTTACCTCTTTGCTTGATTAAAAGCAAGTAAAGCTTTTAAAAACCTTTCCTTAAAAGAAGTTCTCAAACCTGGGCAGCTTGGGAACATCAATCACCAATATATATGTATCAATGAAAATGCGTACCTACTAACACGATCTACGAATATGTATATTAGAACATAGTATGCGCTATACAAAATCGTAAACACCATCGAATTTTAATACATCAATTAAATATTTATCAAAACGAAAAATGTATAATAAAAACACTTTATGGCTCGTTGTACGAAGTTGTATTATTTTCTAGTACACGAGTTATCTAAAAAATTGACGTTAAAATATTTTTTATTTAGGATTAAAATTGATAGAGTTTATATTTTATAATCTACTATGTTATTTCCGTCGATCTATTGTTTTGCTATGATATCGTCGTGGATAGGACGTTTATCAACATACGGAGCGAATTATCGAGACTCAACAGCGAATTCTGATAGTGGAGTTTGCTGCTTAAAAATATAAAATACCAATCGTAAAAATATATTTAGAGCCAAGCGATACTTGATATAAATATAATTTTTCATTAATTCTACTCGACTTTCTCTTGTTCTGTTGATTGTTTTGCTCTTTTGCAACGTTCAAGGATTTGCTCATATTACACTCGTATATTAAGTACATTTATTTTTGCAATAAAAATAACTTAAACGTCACATAATGCAAGTCACAATTACATTGCAATTCGCAAGATATTGTACCTATTTCGCTTTTATATACGTTGTTATGCTAACTGACTGTCGCCATTATGAAAAACCCAAATGATAGATAGATTTTACTGAAAAAATCATCAATTGTTTATGATTCATACGTTTTAAACGACTATCCTAATTAAAATAGGGACATACCAATAAAACAATATATGAAAGGTGTGTAATTACAACATTTACGAGTTATTATCCAACTAAAAAGTCAAGAATACAAAGAAAAAGGTGCCAAATAGACGCCAGAATAGCCAATAGGAAGATATTACACAACTAACCACGAAACAAAGCGACGGGAATATCTATAGAAAACGCATTTACATTGTCAATACAAATGCCTTTAATGAGTGTGGGGTCGAGCTTCTTGACCATCCACCAAATAGTCCATATCCAGTCTCGATTCCAAGATCTATCAGACGCCAAGTAACAAAACTTTCAATTTATTCATATTTTGTAATTTCTTTATTCGCGAAATATATAGCCCACTATAGTAAGTTAACGTGTAATCTAAGCTACTATTATTTTAAGTTATAAGAGTAATATTACAGCATAGTCTGTAAAGAGTTCTATTATAGACCTATGAATTAATGTAGCAAAGAAGAAAAAAGTATTCTTATCCGGGATAGGCGATTGTTTCTCACGGTATGGATCAGTCATCTTTGAATTGATTTTAAGTATACACCAAGTGCGATAACATTAAGTAATAGTAGACTATATATAATTTACTAGCTGGTATGCCCGCGACTTCGTCGGCGTGGAAGAGTTATATTATACCGCGTCGGTCGCGTCCCTTCCCTTTATTCTTGCGGGATAGTCTTATAAGACAGGCATATAGCGTCGCGGACTTTTTTTAGATCATTTAAAGAGAAATCATTATTTCATACATATTTGCAGCGTACGCCTCGGAAACTCATAATGAAGAATAATTTTCCCAATTTTTGACACAATTTTCGATTCTATTAGTCCAACGACGATGTTTTATAGCCTATAATAGCCTTCCTCGATAAATGCTCTAACCAACACAAAAATAATTTTTCAATTCGAACCCGCAGTTCCTGAGATTAGCGCGTTAAAACAAACAAACAAACTCATCAGTTTTACTTATTAGTATAGATAAATCTTATGAAGAACTTTGATCGTAGTATAAATACTGTTATCTAAGAAGGATAAAGTTAGAACTTGCGGTTTGTTTTTAAATTATGTACATGTAGTATGTAGTAGTAGACAGTTTGATAAACCTTTACGACATGGGCGGGAACCGTAGCGTTTTTTTTGCTCTAACCAATTGAGACACGGTAGCTGAATCTATTTTCAATATATAAATGCCATCATGTACGTACATGCGAAAAATATTAAAGTTTTCATTCTGTTAATGTTACTTGTAATAGTTATATAGTTCGACTTGAAAACGAATGTTCTACTTATAACTATTTATTATATAAATATTGGCTAATCTTTGAAACTTTAATGTTTTGACATGATAACTGTTTTATAAGTTAAAAATCTATATAAGGTTATAATTAATTTGATTGGTGAAAGTTGGTGAAAGGGAACACAAGCGAGCTTCGAGCTTACGAAGTATTTCGTGCTGTTGATGTTACCGATTGAGGTCCCTCTAAGTTTATTTTACCACTTATTGCATACGAATTTGACTGCCTAATAAATATTACTATACTTAATTCAATATATACTCTCATTAATGCTATATTCAATATCAATTTCTTCAGGTGAAATACGACGAAGACAGAAGGTATCCCCGAATGGAGCACATTCTGCAAGCGGTCCGGTGCCAGTACCTCACCCCCAGTTTCCTCAAAGAGCAGATGAGTACGTGCACCGTGTTGAAGAAAGTTCCGGCCTGCAGGGAGTACCTCGCAAAAATATTTCAAGTAAGTGTGTCTTTAATAAGCCTGTGTCATTTTCGTAGTTCACAGGTTAACGCATTGTATAAGTTAACCACGAGAAGTTCTGCGTACCGTTGTCGATAACCACCTGGCAATAACCATTTTCTAAACTTCACACACACATTACATTCACATTCCTTCATTTTCACATGTTATTATTACGCGTGGCCATGGATAACTCGAGTTCGCGTGCGTTTTAATAACAGTCACTGCTACGCTAGCGCCATCTGTTTAGCCCGTATATGATATTTACAGGAATTAGCTGGTAGACCATTGCAGCTAACTAACTCTCACAATGTCCTCATATTGGTGTACCGTTCTTTAGCTTATATATATAATAATAAGACAGAAAATAATAAAGATGTGATTTGTTTTGGCTTTCTTAATTCGGAAATCCACGAAAAGTTAATAAAAAAAAAAATTCCAAGTCGAAATTTCAATATTTACATTACCTATTTCATATTTCAGTTTTTCAAAGACGAGTACTCAGGTAAAGAAATTAGAAAATGGTTATATCAATTAAAAATATATTATAGATCTAAAAATCTATACGACTCAGGCAGGGCATAGCAACAGTTCGAAACGCTATGGAGGCCGGTTCAAGTCCTGTCCGTACCGTAAATTCTTTTTTTTTAAATTTTATAATTAAGTAGAGTTAGTAGCCAGCAAGGTCCAGCAATGGTCCAGCTAGTTTTTGCAAATATCAAATACGAAGGAACAGATGGCGCTAGTGTAACGGAAATGTTTATTAAAAACGCCCGCAATCTTGAGTCACCCGTGGCCACGGCTCCTGAAAAAGATCCGAAACGTCGGGTTACAGTTTTAAAAAAATTAGGGCTGGGTTACTGTGTTAGATTGTGAATAAATGGCTTTCTATCAAGTCATGGGGTCGATTTTTTCGGTCGGCTCCTCTGTCGAATAAAAATCAAAAATCAAAGGCTTAACAAAATCTTTTGCAATTATTTTCTGGAACAACGGACAATAATTGATGAAACTTGATGAACATATAAAATTAAAGAAAATTGGGAAATTATCGTGTCATAAACTATTCGATAGCAATAGACCGTAAATGACTTGCTAACGGTTTAAACTTACATAGTATTATTATTAGCAACACATCTAGATATGAGTATTAAAACATATTGTATTACAAGTGTTTTTTCAATAATCCCTAAAAATGTACAATCACTTTACATACATAGATTTCGATTCTGCCAACGAAACTCGCTGTTTTGTCCGATAACACTATCTGTATATTATACTAACACACGCCCGTGACTTTGTCTGTGTAGAATTTTCCAATTTAGCTATATTTCTGTTTCAACCTAAGACCTCTTTCTTGAGTAAATAGTTTGCTTTGCGTTCAGAACCTGGGGTCCTGAGTCTAGGAAACAATAGTTTATAATGGACAGAGTAGAGAAGTCTGACCAATTACTTGTGTGTAAATAAAATCAATCAGTGGTACGGACACAGAAATATGTCAGCTTCATGCCTCAAACAGTGGGTTATCACTCTCAACGTAAAACCTATAAATATCTAAAACTGTAAAAATCTATAAACACCATAATATGTACAGCGTCAGGACATTCCGTCGTTTCCCATTTTGCACGGGAAAATGACGGATTTCACAGTAACAGCAATAAGATTTACTAACCATTAGGATTTTATCTCAGTTACGCATTAAGTTCTGCAACACACCTTAAACATTCTATCACGTTCGATACAAATATAATAGTTTAATAAATGTAACAATTATATAATATAAATATACATAGAATATTGCAACATATGTAACCGTTGGTTCGATTCCCACTGGCTAAATCATCATACGCGTGTCAAAAATGTCTAGATAGTAGGAATATCTAATTTCTGGCCAGAGTCACGTACACAAATGGCAATGCCGTGAAGTTCCGCTTTTAGTCTGTGGATTTTCCGATTGGCCACAGCGCAAAGAGGTTACTTTTAAGTAGATGCTAGAGAGAGTATATTACTTTCCACCAATTGAACCACGTGCTTATATGTCCTCTGTGACAAAAAAGGATTATTTGAAAGATTTCGCAATATTACATGAAAAAAAATTTTCGTTGCAAAGTGTTTTTCTAACTGTATATGTGTTATCCTATAACGTAAAGGTGGTTAAACTCGCCAAACATTGATTCACCGTGACTTTGCATTTTTTTCGTTATACTTCGAATTGGGGAAGTATACAAGTCATGGCGTTATTGTAGCTCGGAAGGTGTTCTGGCGACGTGTTCATTTTCGTGGAAATTAGTCGCGCGCTCGGTAGTTATCAATGGAAGATCGACATTTTTTTGAAGTATGTATTGGTGCTTTTAAAAAAATTAATCGGAATAGTGCATTTTCTGATTTTCTTTACCAGTGCTTTCGTGAAATTATAGGCAAAGCTTATTAAAACGTTAACTTCATAACGAAAAATTCAGAAATATAATTACGTAATATTTATCGTGTAGTGATAAAACTGTTACGCAATTATTCTTATTTATTTTTAATTATTCTAACAAGATGTCAACCTAATCAAGGACAAGGTATACCTAATCGATACTCCATTTGAATATAAGTAATTTTTTGTTTTAAGTTTGATATTTACTCAGGTTACTTCAGACAAAAGGATGCCTTGGATTGTCTAAACATTCTTATTATTCGTTCAAAGACATTAGTAATAGAAATTAATTAAAATATTCATGTGTGTTTGTTTAGCTTTAGTTACAATAAAATAAATTCGTTTACTAAGTCTGACAGAAATGTGTTCGCCCCAGTGCAACGTGTAAACGGAATGTTACACTCTTTTTTTCTCTTTTCGGTTATTAATCGTAACATGGCTTAATTTAATATTTCAATTGAAAATATATTCGTTTCAGGATCTGACACTACATAAAAAGCCAGTGGTAAAGGAAAGACGACCAAACACACCCCGTATAATCTACGTGGCCGGCGGTTACTACAGACATTCAATAGATGTCTTCGAAGCGTTTAATCTTGACGATAATTGCTGGACCACTTTGCCTCGATTGACTGTGCCCAGATCTGGCCTTGGAGCCGTATTCTTAAAGGTATGTTTACAAAAAAATAAACTTTGTCGAACCGAAATATTATGAAAATATTTCAAATAATAGACAAGTGAAACATTTAGTCTTTGCATGAAACATACATTTTTTATATGTCCAATATAAACAGATTTATAATTTTAAAAAAGGCTTGGTTCGGGTTTACTTAAACATTTATCGAATGTATATAAGGCTTTTATAGCCTCTTTGCGACTGCTAGAATTTTCGAGCTGTTTGGCCGTCGTAATAAAGATTTTCTCGGCGTCTCGCCACTTTTTCATCGGCCACGTGTCATCTCTATTTTTCTTGAATAAAATTTATTTCTGCTTTGTACTTAATTGTAATTGGCATTCTTTTAAACCCAAAAAGAACAATAATAGCGTCGATTTATAAACCTTTTAGTGCTACTAAGATATTTTTCTATTTATTTAGTTTTTATTATATTAGGGGGACCGAAAAGTATTGTCGTTTTCCTCCCCCAAAAACCACCCCCTTTTTTTTTAACCGTTTTTTTTTTTTAATCCATGGTTTTCCCCCCCCCCCTTTCAACCCCCCCCCCCCCCGCGGGGGAATTTTTTTTCCCCCCCCCCCTAAAAAATTTTTTTTTGTTTTTTTCCCTTCCTTTGGGGGGGGGGGTTTTTTTTCCCCCCCCCCCTTTTTTTTTTTCCCCCCCCCCCCCGGGGCGGGCCGGCGGGGGGGGGGGGGGGCCCCCCGGCCCCCCCCCGGGGGGGGGGGGGGGGGGGCCCCCCCCCCCCCCCCCCCCCCCCCCCCCCCCCCCCCCCCCCCCCCCCCCGGGGGGGGGCCGGGCGGCGGGGGGGGGGGGGGCCCCCCCCCCCCCCCCCCCCCCCCCCCCCCCCCCCCCCTCTTCTTTCCCCCCCCCCCCCCCCCCCCCCTCTTTTTTTTTTTTTCCCCCCCCCCCCCCCCCCCCCCCCCCCCCCCCCCCCCCCCCCCCCCCCCCCCCCCCCCCCCCCCCCCCCCCCCCCCCCCCCCCCCCCCCCCCCCGGTGGGGGCGGCGCCCCCCCCCCCCCCCCCCCCCCCCCCCCCCCCCCCCCCCCCCCCCCCCCCCCCCCCCCCCCCCCCCCCCCCCCCCCCCCCCCGCCGCCGGGGTGCCGCGGTGCGGGCGGGTGTTGCGCTCTCCCCCCCCCCCCCCCCCCGCCCCCCCCCCCCCCCCCCCCCCCCCCCCCCCCCCCCCCCCCCCCCCCCCCCCCCCCCCCCCCCCGGGCCCCCGGGGGGGGTTTGCCCGTTTTCCCCCCCCCCCCCCCCCCCCCCCCCCCCTCCCCCCCCCCTTTTTCCCTTCTTCTCTCCCCCCTTTCCCCCCCCCCCCCCCCCCCCCCCCTTTCCCCTATTTTTCTTATATCTTCCACAGGGATTCTTCTATGCCGTCGGTGGACGAAATACATCGCCGGGTTCCTCCTACGATAGTGACTGGGTGGATGTGTACAACCCCGCAACGGAACGATGGCGACCTTGCAGCCCAATGTCGACGCCGCGGCATAGGGTAAGAGAGAAATTAATAATTTGCTTTTTATGTTCAAACATTGATTATATATGATTTAAATATAGATCTTGGCTTTGTGCTTTAGTCCGAAAAAGTGTAAAAGATATGTTTATTTACATGCCTGTCGCAAGTTACTAAGCTACAGTCATACTATAAGCTAAATTAAGATTTGTCTTTCCTCAGGTAGGCGTAGCTGTAATGGACGGTCTACTTTATGCAGTCGGGGGCTCTGCTGGATCTGAATATCATAAGTCTGTTGAATGGTAAGTCTATAGAGAGAAAACTATATTGATTATACATTACCACATTGGCGACTCAGCTAGATATATTTATTAAATAATGCTAATTTCATTATTAAGTGTTTGTTGTTTAATACAAGGAAACGACTTTTAAATTCTTGCAAACTATTTATTTCTTTACAAAAATACACGTCCGTCTCACATTGTCTTCAGTTCTGTCGTTATTATTATACGCCTGACCAATCGGTCACGCAAAAGCTAACTCTTAATGAATGGCTCCAACATGCTGTAACATGTCTTTTTTTTATTGTTTCTGGTTGCTTATTAATAGTTATAATATTTCTTTTATCTGTCCTCTGTTTTATTATTTATTTATATAATTACAGTTAAAGTTTTATAAAGCCTACACAATTAACATTCTTTTTAGTTTAAGTTTGTCAGTTTTTTCCACACAAAATTTCTAGATAAAATATGTAAACAACAAAATACTTTTCAAAAAGTTATATAACAAACTTACATAGTTTGTTCTTCCCTAGGCAGGGTTCCAAATAATAGTTGCTAGCCTGAACTCAATCACTAATTTATTTTATATTTTAAATTGAAAAAGTTATAACAACACAATCGCGAACCAAGATAGTGGTAATATTATCATATCGAGTAGAAATTCCAAAAGGGTTACGAGAAGCAATGATCCTTCAAGCCGGACAAGGGCAACTATAAATTCTCAGAAAATTTGTATTGTAAACCCTTAATTATAATGATTTCAGTTATGACCCAGAAAAAGACACGTGGACGTACGTCGCGTCGATGCGTAGCGCGCGGTTGGGCGTGGGCGTGGCCGTGGTAAATCGGTTGTTGTATGCGGTGGGCGGGTTTGACGGCGTTCGACGTGTCCACTCTGTAGAGTGCTATCACCCGGAGAACAACTGCTGGACAGAAGTCGCGCCTATGAATGTGGCTAGAAGTGGAGCTGGTGTGTATTATTCTATTAGAAACACGTACTTATAACCCCGCCTTCTAGGTTCAACGATGGTGTTGTCAAGCGCGACTGACATGTAATCGAATTTTTGGAAAAATATTTTTTTACGATAGGGCACCTAGGTAACTACAACTAGAGAAACGGATATAATAATAATACTCTCATTCGCAGGTGTTGCAGCACTAAATCAGTATATATACGTAGTGGGCGGTTATGATGGGTCGCAGCAGCTGTCTGCTGTAGAGCGATATGACACGGAACGGGACGTATGGGAGACGATAGCACCAGTGCCCGTCGCTCGATCGGCCCTCTCTTTGACTGTGCTGGACAATAAACTTCATGCTATGGGTAAGTCTTATCCTTCCTTGTTTAATGGTAATTTAAAAACAATGTTTGGTGGTCTAAACACTATTTAAGTATCTTTTCCTTAATATCCAGTCAGCCAATCTTTTATCATAGTGTATGTGTGTGTGTTTCTTTCTATACCAAACCATATGTATTCCACTGCTATTGATGGGATTGTAGTATATAAATAATCAACGTTTCGTGGGTTTGATCCCCATCAATTTCAACATGTTCTAATCAAAGTATAATGTAACTGTAACATGTAAGAAGTTTCCTGACAGTCTAGATTTTAAATTGGTGGTAGGAATATTAATTCCGTCCTGGTGGCGAGCCACCGTCTACAAAGAAAAGAGGCATGAAATTCAATCGCGTTTCGTTTTAGTTCTTGGAGTTCTGAATATACAAAGCCATATTCCAAATTGTATTTTACCTTCCATCTAGGGTAACCCCAGCCTTGCCTATCCTCCTGTAACATCAAAACAATTATTACATTCTCCACATATAGGACTAAGACTGGTAAATTATACAAGCATAGGTAAATAGATGTTAAATTGGAAAATAAATTTACAGGCGGCTACGATGGTTTCGCGTTCCTCGACATTGTGGAAGTGTACGACCCGACAACGAACGCGTGGAAGAGCGGGACTCCGCTGACGTCTGCCCGATCTGGCCATGCATCAGCTGTGTGCTACCAGCACCTAGCTCCATTAGACAACGAGTTCACGCCGAGTGTTGTGAAGAATTCCTTAAATGAACAGGACCGACGTACTAAGTCACTCCGCGGACGGACAGTGCCATAGCGATATATATTGAACTCTAGGAGTTAGTGAAACTTAATGCAGTGAATGTTTTGCTAAATAACAGAGGGTGCGCGGGCTACATGTATTTTAACCTCGAAATTATGATCGGTTTCAAATGACATTATATAGTATTAAAGGACAAATATAATTCAAAAAAAATATATGACGACACCTAGTTAGAATTAAACAAGAAAGTACCGAATTTGACAGCCAAATGTTATATTTTTGTCGAATTTTTTTAACAAATTAAAATTCGACAAAAATATAACATTTGGTTCAAAGATTAGATACATTTGGTGTTAAAAGAACAACCTAATTTCCTGACAATCTTCAAATCAAATGTTGTATTTTTCTACACTGTATTACATTTATTGTTTGACATGAGTAGAATGATTAAGGGACATATACTTTTTATTAGTATTTAAAACATTAAAATATCTATTGAACACAAGTCACATAAACTACAGGCAACGCAGTTAAATTTTGTGGCCCGCTATTAGGCTCTAGCATTTAGAATTGTTGGAATGTGCGTAAAACGCTATGGTTTCAGTGTATATAATGTAATATAGCTTTAAGACATCTTCCAAATAGCAGCGTAGTTACGCTATAAGCGAATATTATCATTATACGCTGCTTTACCATCAGTCGTAAGTGTACCTGTCCTTTGAAAGTGCATTTTGTTGTAAGTATATTGCAGTGTTTAGTAAATATTGCACATCAACATTAAAAAAGAGACAGCTGATATTGATATAGTACAATGTTATCTCTCTCCGACACTGTAGTCTTTAATGATAAATTAAAATCTTACTGACGAAATATTGAATTAATAATTAGTTTCGAAATACTGAAGTCACTTAGGACAAGAGTTTTATAGATAACTGCCATTTTGTAAAATTAAGTGTCTTTGTACTTTAAGCATAAACAAACAAGTACAATATATATGTATATTTTAATTGCACTATGTTTAAAATCATTTTATTTTATATCAGGGCTCGAAAAGCGTAGAATAATTTTTAAGTTTTAGTTTATGTTTACCTGTTATTATCCCAGCCGTGACACTGGCAGTATCATTTTCATTCTACAACCCACCATTTTTTACGGAATAGAAAGAGATCTGGCTCTTTTGTTCGTAACTAATTTTTAGTTGCAAATCCGTGGACTTGCAAATTTCTTTTAAACAATACGATTTTTTTGTGTAATGCGACACGGTCTGAGTAAATTTAGAAACAGTTTTGTTAAATCTATAAACGTTAGGAGCGACGGTTTCGAGTCCTGCTTTTTACACAGACTATATATCCTTAGTCTCTTCATCACAAATGTTTTAATAATTGGAATATTATGTTTATTCATTATGTCATAAGTGAAAACTTCTTTAGCAGCGTTGTAAACGATTTTTGTAATTGGTAAATAATTGTAAACTCACAACAGGATACCATCCACCAGGGTTGTCAATGTAAATTGTCATAAATGATAATTTTTATATTGATAATTACAGCAATTCATCCAAAACCGATTGCTAAAAATTCCATTCAGAAACATCAAGAGTGTTTGACGTAAATAAGAAAATTGACCTTCTTAATTCTATAGGCACTAACCGAGTGCAACATATAATATAAAACAATGTTCATCGCTGTGATTAGGATATAATGGCCGCTCCACACTCTCCACTGAGTCTGGAGCCGCCATAATAATTTTGTTGAACATATGCCCTATATATTGTATTGTATTATTGGAAGCATATTCATATAGAAGTATAATAATTGTATGATCATGATATCTTTATTTGTGGTGTCCCTATACAACAATTCTCTGTAATATAGAAATGCGATTTTTATCTCGAGAGGCTGATAAATAAAAAATAACAGAAATTTGTCTTGTAAAAATACTTTAAGGAATTATGTCCGCCCATTGGACTTGACTCTTGTACATTAAATGCTATTTTTAAGGAAATAAAGACTGTTATGGGATTTTAATAATCTATTTTATTTAATCTGTACATATTTCTGTATCTACTATATTTACAAAATAAATAAACAAAACTACCTACTTGGTACATTTAAGTAAATATATTCTTTTAGTCATGGACAATGAACACTGTCGAGTATTAAACTAGGGTTTTTTAATTTTTCTACGGCGTTTAACAAATATCCGGACGTCGGGAATATCAGGTTCGACAAAGTGCTCTACAGTGTTTCCTTCTGTCACAATTATCTCCTGAGACTTTTGGTACTGTGTGATATCTTTAGTAAGACCCAGGCAAGATGGCTTACTATTCACATCATCTGTATCAATTTTATATGGGGTTGAAGTTGCCAAAGCTTTCAATGCAAGCGATTGACTTTCTTTAGTACTTTGTACAGTCTCTAATTTCGCAATATCCACAAGGCCTTGACTCTCGGAGCGCGCTGATTGAACCCCCTTCGATATAATCACAACGTTTGCACTGTCCATAGACACAGCCGTGTTCAAATTTTCATAAATATCTTCCGGATTCATTGTTTTAAAAGATTTTATGTTGGTATCAATAACTTCCTCATTATCTACTACCGTGTTAGTAGCAATACATTTATGGGGCTCTGACGCTTTTATACTTTCTACACTGAGATCTACAGCACTTTGTGTGTCGTCAAAGACGCATTCAAATTTGCTTGATGCCTTTACTTCAGCTACTTTATTAGGTATGCCTAAATCTTCGGGCGATATTAAACTGTTACTGTCACCAAATAGTTCACAAAATTTAGAACGAACTTCTTTTGCGTCGTCTTTATGAAATATCGAGCTCGTTGGTTTGGTACTACTACCACACAAGGTATTATCTTTGGCCTTTTCTTCTTTCTCGGCACGTTTTGTTAGTGTGCGTGATTTATTACTGCTTACAGTTTTCTTCCGGCCTTCAACAACATGTCCCATACAGTCATTGTTCGATTTAGCCACTGCTTCAGAATTAACATTCAAAGCTACCTTAAATGTGTCGCTTTTAATTCCTTCTTTTGTTTCACATCCTACTATATGTTTTTCGTTTGTTTCTTTTGGACAAATATTGTTTATACCATCTTGTTTTGAATTAATATCAATTGAATTACCATCTTTTGCATCTTGAATTTTATCTTTCGACGTCGTTTTCTTAGTAGATTTGCTCTTTTTGCCAGTTTTGTCAACTTTTTTTGGTGGATCTTTAACTGCTTCACTTTTGGAGTTGCTTTCAGGGCTTATTGTCTCAGTTTTCTTCGACTTGAAATTATTTTTTGAATTTTTCTTTTTTGTTAAAGGCATATCTGAATTTTTAACTTTCTTTTCTGCTCCCGAAGCATGGATTAAATCATCTTTATTATCACTATTTTCATCTATTTCAATGAAAGGATTATTCTCTTCTATTTGTTGACCAACTGTATACTTATCAAGACAATATTCTTGAAATTTACTTTTCTTCGGCTGTGCATTACTACTGTCTACAGTTAAATCGTGTACTACTTCTCCACATGGTTTATTACCTTTCATTGGACTTAAATTGACATCACTTTCGGTCATATTTGTTCTTGCATTATCTTCTTCAACTATTTGACAGCCATTGCTTTTAATTAAGGTTTTGTGTTCATCATTTAAACTTCTCCTGTAAGAATTTAAACTCTTATTGTCATCATTACTATCCAAATCTAAGGCTACATCATGGTTATCTTTTTGTTGAGTCAATAATGATTCATCTGTGATATTTATTTTATTTTGGGAATCAGTCAATTTTTTACAGAGTTTCGTGCGCTTTAGCTTAATCTTTAGGGGAAATTTTTCTTTCTTATTATTTAGATTATGATTATTGGTGGTGTTATTTTGGAGTTCCAAATTATCATCACTAGCATCATCACTTAACAACAAATCTCCTTCAACAGTTCCACTAACATGAAGAACTTGATAGTGATCTACATAACTTTGAGAATCACTAAATGGAACTTTCTCTGTGTCTGTTGCATCTAGAGAAAGTTGAATATCATGGAAAGGTTTTTGAGTTTTGTGATTATCACCAACATCTTTTAGTGAATTATTTGAATTATCCTTTGATGTGCCAACATTGCAGTCTGAATTATCATAAGTGGTATGAGTCTTGTGTACTTCAATAGAATCAAGATTTTTCTTATTCATCTTTTGTGGACAATGTGTGTCACGTTTTTCTGTAAGATCAGTGTCATCTTTGATAGTCTTAGTTACATGTGGACTATTGTCACCCACACGTGATTGAAATGCTACTTCTGACGTAAAATTTTCAATATTTGAATATATCTCCGAAATAATATCCTCATTTGTTTCAAATATAGATGATGGTTTATGAAGTAAAGTATCAGGAACAGGCGCTTTTGAATTTGTCCAGGTTGATTGATTCACAAGTTTCATACAAATTTCTCCACTATATACAGTTTTCAAACAAATCTTATTATTTTCAGTATGCAAAACATACTTATTGCTAGTTAGTCTGGGATCATCCTGAGGGCTATCGGCTGTCTGCATTATTTCTGAAAGAAATAATTGTCATAAATTATGTTAATTATATTCTCTCATTAATCTGTATTATCTAAGATCTATAGAAAAAACAGTATATCTCAACCTTTTATGGGAGTCTTGTTATCATTCAAGTGGGAGTGTATATGATCAGGTGACTGGCAAGAATGGTATGGCTCCACTGGGGAAATTAATGTTGGACTTGGCTCAACAACTTCACCATCTGATAAACTATTATTAAGATTTTCCTGATACATGTCAGGGTCAGTTCTCATTTTTTTATTGATTGGTTCTTCAGAGAGAGGCAATAATTTATGTTTTGTGGTATGCTTTTCATTTGAAGAATCTGTTTCAATGTGGGGCAGCCGATCGTGACTTCTTTTTTTGATAAATCTGTCACTTGGAGGGCTTCTAGACCGACTGTGTTGTTGATGGCCATAGTTCTCCCAGTGATTGCTAAGTGGACTCTTATATCGTCTATGTCGGGATTTATCTCTTGACCTGTACCTATCTTCGTAATGCTTTAAATGTTTTCTTCTTTCACTGCCTTCCACATTGGTTTTGTAATCACAATTCTTTTCATTTTTTCCTGAAAATCTCCTATCTCTTTGTCTGTCTGAATATTTGTAATCTCTTATTTTTTTATGTTTATATAGGTCAGACTCTTCATTCTCATCGTCAGAAGTTATCGGTGGTTTATTAACATGACTGTAAGAAATGCAAGTGAAATTAAATTTTAAAAAACAGTTTATTACATACATTACAAATATTTTCCAGCAGACTATACCTAGTAGCAGGTAGTGACTTCCTACGACTATCAATTTTAAGACATGTTCCATCACTTCTATTCTTAAAAATATTTTCTTTTGTTTCTAATGTAGGTATGGAAACACGTGTTTTTGTTTCTGTGTTTGCTCTATCAGAAAAATTTTCCACTGGTTGCCGTCCAATATCTCTTGTTTTTGAAAACCTGTACATAAATGTTATAAATTTTGTTGATTGTTTGAAAGTAAAATCACAAGAACTGTAGGATAATTTAAGTGTAAAAAAATCTTACCCTTGTTCTGGTTTAGTATGAGGAAAGAACCTTTTTCCTTTATTTTGGAATGCTTTAATGACAAACTCGTCCTTCCTACAAGATAATATAAGTTAATACTGGGCCGATTAAAAATGATCCATAGTTGATACTCTCCTTCAAACTGTGTCTGACTAATAAACATAAATACAATATTTAGCTTATCTGCAATATCTTTAATTTGGCCTTAGACTATTTATACAGCAAAATATAAAACTACTAAGAAGCATATAATATAATGCATACACTTACTCTATATTAAGTTGCTTTATCATTTTTGTTTTCCTTTCAATTTCACTCTTTGCTGTTTTCAGCAATGATGAATAATTCATTTCCAACTTTTTGTGTTCTGCATTAAGTCTGTCAAAATCCTGTAAAATTATCTATAATATCAATGCACATCCATCCTAAGACCTAAGCATATATCTATCTAAAAATTATAAATTGATAAGAAACATGATGGACCTGTTTGGGCCATGTGGGGATCAAATCAGTTGATGATTATTAGCTATACGTTACTATTACAGCCAGGAGCCGGACAAATGCCAAAAGTAAGTTTGCCACCTCACGTAATGGTTAATATTACCATGGATTCAATTTTCCATAAAGTCAATAAAACAATGGCAACTGGGGTTTTGGTTCAGTTCTACAGTATTAAAAAGAATCTTATTTTACAATCTTATCATTTTAAAATGAAGACAACTGAAATCTAATTAATTTGCGAAATCAGTAATGCTTACCATCTGTAACCGATTTAAATGTGTGGAATACTTATTAAGCTGTACTTTAAGCTCTTGGTTTTCATTTTTTAACTAAAAAGAAAACAATCATAATAATAAAATTATACTTCAAAATGCCTTGACACACCATTCACTTAATATTTTCGCGCTCAATTTTGTGGCGTACTTACATCTTCAACTATCGTATCGTGATTATAGTTTTCCAAATCGTCGTATAATCCATCCATCGTATAATTACAACTAAATATTGACTTTAAATGTAAGTTAATTATTATATATTATACTGTTTGAATTTTGAAACTAAGTCATAAAAATATTTAATACTTAGAGCCACCTTAGAACAAAAAACAAAAGTCAAAACTAAAACGACAAATATTACACAGATGTTGGTACTTGGTAGTAGTCGTAAATGTAGATGTGAAAGACACAGACTATAAATTAGTACAGACTCATGAAAACCACGGAAATAAAAATCGTTATCGCCATAGAGTATTAAAACAAAACTCACAAACCATTTCACTCGGAGAAAAAGTTCGTTATATTTGAATCCTAATTTAGTACATTAATTTATATTACCTTCATCGTTACTATACATTTTATTTACTTATTATATCTAAACTCTAATATAAATAAAAACTCTGTAAAAACGTTTTAAGCAAAAACCACAGTTCTGTTCAAATTCAGCCAAAAATATTTTGTCTACCTAAATAACCATGACCATTTCTCAATTTCTAGTTTTCCGGGTATAAATTTTCTGTAGTAGTCGTGTTTTCATGAAACGTAAAATCTAATCACCAATTATCTTTTAGTACGAACGAACTCTCTTCGCGCCTGCGGGTGGAATCCATCAATAAAACTCATTGTTATAATTTAACAGTGTTTATATTTTGTTTCAAGGTTAATAATATTACATGTGCCTCGTGTGATACTGCTATACAAAATTCCGCTTGAGCAGTCTATAAGATGCCAATTGTACCGATGACTGCTTTTAGAAATGTGACGTCACAGATCGTTCAAACCGGTCAATTGAAACTAAAAAGACACAAAAGATATCTAAAACGTTATGAACTTCACCGTCTAACGTAATATATAGTTAGGATATAAACAGAATTACTCGATGTAGGTATACACAGGCACAAGATCCTTATTTCTGTGACGTAACGATATGCAATCGAGAGTAGGCTTGGTGATTTTGTGCACTATCGTATAATCCATAATAAATTTACATAGAAATATAAAAATTCCATAACATCGTGCAACTTATATTTATTCACCATAACCTGTAGTCCGTTATCGTACAGTTTGCTACAACAGTGAGACCTATAACGAGTGTTAAAAACGAACAACGAAACGAAGGCGGTCGTGATTCAAGACATCTATACAAATCTATGATTGGCATTGAACGTTTAGGAAGCTGAATTTCAATAATACTTTTTACGCCATAACAAATTTACACTTTGTAACAATTTACTACTTTACCTTTTACATTAGGATACTTAACGTTAAAGCTTGCCGTATTTACACGTAAGAGATGACGAGGATGCCGCGTTCGATAGAAAAATATATCTAATGTGATCATGATTTCAAACAGTACGTAAAAAATAAATGCCGAGTCAATGAAACTACAAAAGTTTGTAAAAAACAAATTATGAGCTACGATATAAAATGGCATGAAATGGTGTAGAGACCATTTCTAATTCTTTATATGAAGGTACATAGTTTGTGTTATAGTTATACAAAAATACATGTTTAAAACCTATAATAATCGTTTAAAATATATTTTCTCAACTAATCCCTTAATGAGTCGAAGGTTAAATCTACAATGTATACACGGTGGCACTGTTATTCGAGAATAAAGTTAAAGAGCGTCGGTAAAAAAATAAACAGTAATATAATTAAACTGATCTCATCGTAAATATACTCTAGAGTAAAATAATATTTATCATTTATAAAACCAGATTAGCCTAGTACAATGGCACTCGGCCGGTAATAATAAATAGATGAAGAAATCCTTTACCAAAACGCTGCCTAATCCTTTACTGTAAATATATTTTGTGTGAATGACTTAATCTAACATCACATCCACTCTCGCATTCGCACGGAACAACAATGGAAGAATTGTAAGAAGCACTAGGTTTTATAAAAAATATCTTTTTCAATCCATGACAGTAATTTTATGGCACCCGGCGGTAAAGGCGAAACGTCATAAACAAGTAAGATCCAAAACTAATGAATATTCTAGATTTTTTTATTGTTCCACGACTACTTAAAACCTCTGTTAAAGCGGGCAATTCTCAAGAAGTGATACAAGATTCTCGATTCTGACATATTTTGCGACATATCAACGTAAATATTTTAACGCTTTCGTGAGAATTGCCCCCCGATTCAATACCATCGCTAAATATTTCAAGATAACGTTTCCTCCACCGTCGGGCTGTTTCAAGGTGTCTGTGTATTTGAATATATGTACAAAAGATTACATTCAACAAGACAGACTTGTACTATCGAAACTAAATATATACCTAAGACATTTCCGTTGTCGTGGCACAAATTCCTTTAACTTATAGCACAGAAATCCTCATGGAGGATACATAACAGTACTTCAATCTTTTAATAAACGGACACAAAATGCATATTATGGAAGAAATATGGTCAGGAATGCATCACGTATCCATTACACTAGCTATAACATATCAATTATAAAAGTAACTTAACATAGTACAATATATGTAAAGCCCGAACTCGAGCGTAGATAAGAATTGCTGAAAGAGAATACTTTGAGCCAATCTCATATACGCTTGTGTATCGGGGGAGACAGGGCTCGTATTACAAAGCGGTCATGTCTAAAGTACTTATCTGTGTGTGAATATATTTCTAGTGTATATTGAGGGCGCTTTGTAACACGGACCCCACTGGCACAGTGTGTGCTATTTGTTAGTGATAGCCACGCCCATTTATTAAACTACAGTATACAGAACAAACCGGTAACCGTCAACGTGCTCGAATGTGGGTTTCACGAGTACTCCAAATTGGAGCGGTTCAAAACAAATAGTAATATTTCAGTGACCAAGTCGTGTGCGGAATTTTAGTATTCGCAAATGTACATTTAATAAAATTATGGGCTATATTTATATGATAAGTAGTAATGCGCAGAAAGTTGTTTTGACCACACAGCGCTGCATATAATTTTTACTGAACAGTCCTTCTGGTTTGGTCTGTATTCTGTGTAACGTAACAAGACTACACCATAACCAAAAAATTGCACCTATTGTACTCTTTCATCTACATCACGCTTCTTTGTACTCTTGCGCAACAGCACGGGATTTTGTACGTTCCATGTTCCGATCTACACATTGGCGTGTGTATTTCATATCCATTTTCAAATGGACGTTTTCAATATGATGAACATTTATTTTGTATTACAAGAAAATGCTACAAAACCGTCTTACGCCATTTTTTATTAAATTCATACCATTTTTTGAAACACAATTACTACACAAGCCGCGATATTCAACTGTTCCTATCATCACCTCTAAACAAATACAGACAACATCTTATTTTTAACTCTTCTTTTAACATAAAAAAACACTACAATTACAATTCAATTGTTTTACATAAGGAATCTTAAACATAAAACAGGGTAATATTTAGAGGCGTCTAGGATAGACCGCGGCCAGTGTCGGAGTGTACGTGTTTAAGCGTCACGTGCGTCGTGGAGGGGGAAGTGTCATTGCGGCGTGTCCCTCGCGGCGCTCCAGCGGTCGAACTCTATCCCGGAATCGGGCGAAACGCCACCAGGAACCGCGCACCCGCAAGGCTCGCCCGCCGGCTCACGAACGCCCATTTCCTCCAGCACCTGTTACATGAACTGAACATTAATGTTTACTTTTGAATTCGAAGATTTAACGATATTCCTTTACAATCAATACGATGAAAATAATAAAAAAATCGGGGGTCCTACTGATAACTAATAAGTAACTATAAATAAAACATTTAACGGTTTAAAACTCGATATACACTAATTAAACTTCGTGGGAAATTATTTTAACACGATGTTTCGTCTTCCCGTGGCCACGGGCCGTAGTTAAAATAATCTACAAATAAGTTTAAATAATATTATACCGCGTTTTAAACCGTTAAAGTGTTTTAGTTTAATTTCTACTACTCAAGTAAACTATAGACAGTATTAAAGGAATTGTAAAAATGTAACTTAAAACAAGAGTTTCTTCACTTGAAACAAACTGACTCTAAAGCGATAAATAAAAGCAACGGATAAGTAAGGGCAGAAAAGCGTTGTAAAATAAACACAATATACATAGAACACACTTTAGGAATTTGATAACCGTAGAGGGAACATTATATATTATATTTGTAAGGAATCGTGGCACAGGAGGTGGGATAGGGTTGTGTAGATACAAAGCGCAGACCTTACTCAGTGGGGCGCTGCGCTCGTGGAGGCCGAGGTCCTGCTCGAACGAGTGCAGCTGTCGCATGAAATGGAAATTGGGTGCGATGTCCGTCTTGCGCGAGCGGACCAGCTCGAAGGCGTCGCGGAGGCACAGCCGGTGCCGCTGCATCAGGTACGCCAGCGTCACGGTCACGGACCGCGAAACGCCAGCCACGCAGTGCACCAGGACTCCGCAGCCCGCGGTCATGGCTTCCTCTGAAAATGTTTATTCAAATGTTATGAGAGCTTTCTAATCAGAACGATAAGATTTTGCGGGTTAATATTAAAATTAATGATTTTTAACGCCTTGTTGCAGGGGGCAATTTGGACTCGATCTATAGGTACTATGATGCTTTGTCGCTTCAATTAATTTTATATATTATATATTTATCTCATTTCAGTTAATCACATTCAAGCTTCTTTTTAAAGAAACGTACAATTGTTAAATGGCAACTTTTTAATATTTATTAAATTTTCTACTAGGTTCCAAATCTGAGCTTTGCTATTGAAAGTTTAACCAAGCAAAAGTAACCATTACTTCATTATTATTGTACTCACCAATAAATCGTATGGCCTGAGGGAAGTGTATCGCGAGGTTCTGACTCCAGTGGTCGGCGATCGGTATCTTGAGGTAGTTAATACCGCAGCCTTCTGCCTCGAAGGTGTTCGGGAGATCGGGCGTCACATTCAACACGTACTGAAAGTATCATTAAAAGTGTTATTAACAGGTATATTAATAAATTACATTTAATTTTTTTTTTTTACATACGGATTTCGAACCTTTTGTCTTTAACCTTGAATTCATATTTCATCTACCATATCTATAAGTTATAGAACCAAATTGATAAATCTTGTACATTCAGAAAAACATCTACCTACATCCTTTATGTGTGACCTTTAAACATTATATATTTTTTAACATATAATGCCACAATGCATGCCCAGTTCGGGCAATCGTGATGTTTGGATAGTCGACACGAACCACTAACAACAACAGCTTTCAAAGAAAGCCCTGGGACGAGTTCCCAGTTGTAAGAATTCAAAGTTACATGAGCCTAAGAAAATTGAAATCTACCTTGATATTATGCCTGGCAAGTGCATCGCAATCCTCGCTGTTTGTAGAATTTCCGAGGAATAGATTGGGCAGGATCTCGATTGGAAAGTCCTGCTGGGTGTGCGTGTGTGTATCTTCGCATTCGGATGACGAGCCGGACGAGAGGGCGTCGTCACAGCCAGAACCGGAAATGCGCAGTGATCTAAAAAAAAAAAAGAAAAGTAAGATAGATCACTATCAAAAATAACAAAACGTCAACTCTAGAGTGGTATGAGACCCAAATCATTAAACAATTTTCTCGTGTTAACTTAGTTGAGATCTGCCACTATATTAGTGTTAGAAAGATCCATTCCAAAGCTTTTCTGAGACATCCATAGCCTATCGCACCTTCCCTGAAATTGATCCTATTGTTATTCTAAACAGAAGCCGCATGTGGAAGACCAATGCATAATTTAGATGCTATCTATCATGGAATGCGCTATGGGATAAAGGTTTTATAGCGTTTTGGTTAAAATTTTTAATTTATGACAAGAAGCCTACAATGACGGACGAGGGTGTTTTAAAGCTTTCTATGTTCAGTCTATCTATTAAATATTATGTACAAGACCAACATGTATCATACAAAACCAGCCATGTTCAAATATTCGTCCAGTGATAACCATAAATTTAAAATCCATATAAACTGGGCTCTAAGTAAATAAATAATGGCACGCGAGCCTCTATAATTATTACATCAGCGAAAGAATTAGTACGAAGGCCTCGTGGTCACAGGGACCGTGGGAGCCGCGCGGGGGCGAGCGATCGATGGCGGGGTTGCTCAATGGGGGTGGAGATGGTGGTTCCCCATTCACCTGCCCCCGTGGATCAATGGCCGCCCACACAACGCGTCCTTACTCTATCCCCCTCCGCCCTCTGAGCTCGTTCGACGCCAACGCGTCTGCTCCCACGCGATGCTTTCCCAAATTCGCCCTCTCAATCGTCTCGACGCCATTCAGTGAGCCATTTTGAAAACAATCAAATTAGCCGAGAACACGCGAGTGACGCTCGGCAATAACTTTATTCACTGCACAACGCCTACGCATCGCGTGTCACTTTTAACAAGGAATAATGTATACTGCGTCCAATAGGACGATGAACTTATTAGAATAGTACATGGATGGATAGCGAATCCAAAATTAAGTATTATTTTAACATTTTAATTGTATGACTGCACTGCAGATGTTTTGCTCTCTTAACAGGTTATTAAAAATTTATTTTATAAGGCTTGGATGTTTCAACCATCTCTTATAAGCTTAAGTTCAAAGTTCAATTAGGATTGTGCTTCTTTTGGTGCTGAATAACTGTCACGCGTACTTAGTATGGAAAATGCATGGTCGGTGTGGTACCGAAAACTTGCGATGTGTTAGCTAATTCATTTGTTGATGATGACAATGTAACGGGGTCCCGTGAATAGATGCAGATATCTTGAATAGGGTTGTTAACAATGTAGCCCTGAAAGGTTATAGCGTTTGCACACCGACAGGCGACGTGGTGAGGCTCCGGTGCGTTCGCGTGGGCAGCGTGGGCAGCGAGGCGCGTGGGCGACAACACGTCCATTCAGAGCGCTCGCCCACTCGCTGATCTGATCTCATAATGACAACGCGCTCCTCGCTCGAACGAATCGATTCTAATGTGGGAGCCTGTTTACACTTATCTTGACAACACTTATATGCCATTTACCGCAAAAGAAAACATTGACTACTATGGGCGACTAGATTTTTCGCAATCTACCCACACACCGCAACTAAATTGTCTTATAATTTAACAATGTAATCTTCCAATATTTCCTACTGAAACTAATTGAATCAGCTCCATACGTTAATCTAATTTAAAATATATCTTTCATATAATTTGAATCTTTTTATAATAGGAAAAACACACCAGCAGATAACTACCCTACCAATTGATATTATGCGAGGCTGGCAGTAGGTATGATACAGAGGACGTCGATCGAACGGAAGCCGTGACACGACTTGCCCGTGTTATTAATGAACCAGTCGAGTCCTATAACGTGTTTAGTTGCATCGACAAAGCGGTCGAAATGGATGTGTCTTTGAAACGACCTCGCCGTTCACGGGTGGGTACCATCACAAACGGTTCGGATAACTGCATGTAGATTATGGGTCGGTTACTTGTAGGCGTGCGGGAGTGCGAGTGAGTGCGGTGCGCCAGCGCAGAGGAATGCGGGCCGACCCACCCGACGGCAATGACCGCCTGCGAGGGACGCTTTTTTAATGCCTCACTTACTAGTTTCCATCCTGTCAGGACTTTAACGGGTGAAATCGGGCGACTAACGAAGTTTTATATATCTAAACCCACTATAACATCTCTTATTTTATCTAGTATACAATTCTACGAAATAGGTACTTCTTAATGGCATTTGTGATAATAATGCTGTTAGGCTTAGTAACATCGACATTTTCTTGGAAAACCTTGCCTGAATCCTGTTTGTCATCAATTAAATTGTAGAGGTTAGTTAAATAATAATTAAAGCCGTGTCCTCGTTATTTGAGGTATATAATATGTAGCTGGGAACGTATTCGAATCTTTTATAAGAATATTGCAAACACACATTTAATATAAAATTATTTATCCGCTGTCGTGTTTTCAGTTCATGTATCTATGAATAAATCAGTTTAAGTTTTTTCCAATGTATAAACGCTTTGAGTTGGGGTAATTTAATACCCACATTACACGTAAATATTTACCCACGTGATATTAGATTATGGTGTCACTAGACAAATAAACAAGATAACATTTCACCGAACACATCCGACATCTTTTATCGTCTCGTTCATGGCGGGCTATGAATGAAATCCAGCCTTGAATTCATTTGCAAACTGTGCTCAAACAAAAACAATGCCACGAACGGAACAAACTATACTTTTTTACAACCGCACTCATACTTACATAGAATACAATGGCAAATTAAAATTTATAATTTCATAGCATGCGATTACCATCTGTATGTTAATTAGACAACATTTCGTTAAATTTGTACCTATAATACGTGAGCGGTGTTCTAAGAGTGTTGCGAACTTAAAAGTGCTAAAATTACATATATGAACTCATCAATTCGGATGCAAGCTGTAAAATTTTATTATAAACATGACCATTGCGTTGAGTCACGATCGTTTGGGGGGTTAATTCGCAGATAAGTGATGTATCAAGTCTATCATTCGATTTATACAAATTACGTGAGGTTATTTCGAATGACCGGATAAAAACCTCGATGAATGAAGATGCAAGGCGACTTTTAAAATATTATAAAATTCAAACCGACCTTTTTTCATTGTACAATACTAAACAGACTACTTCTATTACTTTGTAATATTCTACAATTGTATATACATTGTAAAGATATCTCTTCTCTTTCTCTTAAATATCTTAAATGCTTTATTTAATTTTAAAATAGCTCATGCATCGAAGCAAACATCGTAAGCGCTTCTTTATGGACATTTACGACACAAGTCAAACTTTGTATATCGCAAAATTTGCCATTTGTTTTTCATGCAAGATTCGGCGTAATTCGTATGTCGCCTAGATTAGAATTGCCCCCTGGCCATTGTTTATAAGTGCTCCTGATAAATGAGTCGATCGAGTGAGACGTGCAGTGCGCGTTCGGGGTCGCGATATAAATTCGTGAATGAAAACGTCCGCCTGCCCTGACGTCATCGGTGACGTCACACTGATAAATTGTCGACTTCGCACCAGGATCTGGCTTGAGCGATAAGACTTTCCTTGCGATTAGAATTTTGCATTAAAACTTATCACAATTACTACTTCTTTAAATATAGACTATTTATTGTAATATTAAAAATATAAAGCCCCTACATATAAAAACTTTAGTTTCCATTAAACAATAGTAGAGGTCTCGACCTTGGTCCATCTGGCGATAAAAAGCAGTTGTAGCGGAACAAAAAATGATTCGTTGTGAATAATGATTTAAACATATTAAATGATTAATTTATTAGTAAGTCAAGAGTTGTCTTGTTTCTATTATTCATATTAATATATAAACGTAATACAAGAAGTCGGAAGATACACGTAACAGTTTAATTCTTAATAAGAATGCCTGAAGCATTAGAATCTTTTGGTGGATTTTTTGTAAATGAAAATTTGAAATACGAAATGGGCCGCCTACCTGCCCGGGGGGGGGGGTGTCCCAAAAACTTTAAGGGGGTTCCTCCCAATAAAGAACCAGAAAAAAATATGGAAACGGACAAAGGTATTTGGGAAAAGGTATTTCTGTGTTGATATAGGGCAGGCACACACACACACATACGTTAAGCATGTGTATAATTACATATGGACGTTTTACCCTTTGTCGAAGCGAGTGGAATACGTCGGCATACAATTAATAAATGAAATGGTGATACAAAGACCCATCCACCCCGCGCCGGCCCCGCGGCGGATGCCGTACCGGTAAACCGTGGGAGTGATTACATTTTACTTACAATATAAGACGTCTATTTATAGGCATGAGTTTAAACGTTACCGTGGCAGGGAATCGTCACGTGAAGTGCGTGGGCGGCGAAATACAACTTCGCCCAAACAAATTGTTAAGTATTTAGGGACTTTCCTATCAATGGGCCACTCTGCGTGGGCGGTGGTTCATTAATGAATTCGGTATTTTACGGCTCTATAATAATACTGCTCGTTTGGTATTATAATATTTCTTAGGTCTCTCGTACGTCAAAAAGAAATAAACTGAAACTGTAAGGACTAAGAAGTATATAGAGGATACAATAAGTTAACCATCATGGGTTTGTCTCGAAGTACGTGTAAATGCATACCTAAAATTTACATAGTATAGGTACATTTGTACATATTATATAGTTCGCATGTAGTTTACACATGAACGCTACCTTGCTGTACGCTGTTGGTCGGAGATTCGAGCTCCACCTAAATTAATTTGTAAATAATTCTTACTTTTGTTAGTTACGTTGTTAGTTGAATACATTAAAAACGTCAAATCACGTAAACGTGAATCGTATATCCAGTTAGCTGTTAGACGAATATGAATGGAGCGTAATGTGGCATTGAACGCGCAAAGGCATTAGCTGGTGTTGCAACTTGGCTCAATGAGACCGTAGCGACGTAGGCACAAATGATGAATGAGTTTATTAACCGAACGTTTTTATTAATGTCAAGTGGCGACTGCAATGCGCCACTCAGCCTCGAGGGAGCATCGCTGAAGACCACGATCTCTACTTTAATATTGTACTAGCTGTGGCCGCTACTTCGCCCGCGTGCAATAGTTACTTTGGGGATCAAATTTATTTTTGCAAACAATCTTCTCAGCTATATAAATTCTAGCTGTTACTAATGATGTTTCTTCGTTTTCCATTGTTCCTACGCTTTTATTAGTCGCAGCATGATGTTATATAGTCTAAAGCCTTCCTCGTTAAATGGTCCAACCAACACAAAAATAGCTTTCAATTCGAACCAGTACTTCCTCAGAGTATCGCGTTCCAACAAACTAACTCTCCAGCATAGATCAATATAGATGTAATGAAAAATATTGTGTCTTTCGTTTAATAGACAGGCAGCATTGGCCAGTCTACTTTAAATAAAGCCATTTTATATCTATAGGAAACCATTATTTAATGGTCGTTGCAATATATTCTACCAAACTCCTATCAATTACAGTTCTTATTTTGAGATCCATTAGTCAAGTTATAAAGTACCCAATAATGGCTTTTTTATTGCTTTTATGCAATAGATAAAAAAAATTACCTTGAATTGCCTTTAAAATATAAAAATGGTTCTTGCACGTGTTCATCATAATATAACTCATATATCCAATATGTACCATCAATATATCTTTGAAGGAAGTATCCTTCAAAGATATATTGATGTGTTAAGTAACTAGATGGTAGACACGTTGTCTGTAGTAGGTTCGAGTCTCATCTGTGTCATTATATACATATATTTATAAATAATTATATTACAATTAGAATTCGTTATCTCTTTTGGTCTCTTTCGAACTCATTTAATTCAATAACTAATGTTATGAGACGATGAATATAATACAACTTGTAATCCAAAGCACGCAAACAACGATTAAATAATGTATGCATACCATAAACGAGCAAAGGAATGTAAGAAAATCGTTGAAGAGCAGCATTATCTAATCTTAAAAAAATGCTAATTACTAGAATCCAAGTATAAATAAAGTGTGTCTGTTTGTCTGTTATACAACAACCAAGCAATCAATCACTTGATTTTACCAATGAGTAAATTGTAGTATACATATTTTTTTAAAATCCATAAAATCGTCTTGGTTTTCGTCCCAACTCTTCGCGGCATCTTTAATACCAAACGAGCGAAACTGCGGTGCAAGCTATTATTCTACAAACACCACTCATAATAGTTACGGAATCGTGAGAGGCCTGCCGATTTCAATGAATGGTATCGCAAAAGTAAATACGAAACCAGTCGTAACGGAGCCGATGCTTGTGAATGGAATATTTCATAGCCACGTAATCTACGAGTCACCTTCGAGTACCAATTGCCACGTGCAAACGTTAATTAGTTAGGCAACGTTGAACGAAAACATTTCGCATTACATCACTGATAGAGAACAATACCTAACTGGGGAACGTTTGATGCAACGTCGTTCGGCTTCTTCACGTGCAGATGTGGTGGTATAGATCATACATGTTATGTAATATATACATTGATAATTATACGATAAATTGCACCAATGGCGTTATATTTATTCATAGATTAATTCTTACCCACACAAAATTGTTAAACGTACTTTGATTATGTTTTTTTATTAGTGTAACTGCCAGCATGTTATAATAACAAACCAAATTACATTAATGACTAAATTATTAACGATAATTGATAATGCTTTTTAGTTTCTAAATCCTACAAAACGTGTAAGTAATATTATGTTGGAATGTTCATTGAAAAATACGTTGAAAGCCATTAATTGTTTCCTACGCAATCGCAAAGAGAGAGTCAATCAATCGAATAAGCAGTCGGGTCGGTGCGGCAGCGGCTTTTTCCGATAAAAGCTGAATGGTGAGTCTCACGCGCATGAAATCGGTTTCCCACGCGGGCTAGTTTTTCTACCGTCAGTGCTAGCATAATTATTCAGAATCTGGGGACTGGCGGCGCAACTCTTGCCTTTTTAGCGAACAAAACCTTGCGCAAAAGCAATCGCAATATCGAAACGCCAGTAGTTTGAGTATCCATAATCGCTGCGTACCAGCTGTAGTAGGAAATCACGTATCAATTATCTTGGTGTTCTAACTATAATAACTACTACAGCAATAAGAAAAAATGTACTATTTTTATTATGGCTGTTTATTAATTTATGTAAGAGCGCATTTACGGGAGCCAATCTATGTTGTAAGTGCTACTTTGCCGCAACACTCCGACTCTCACCTCACATCACTCCTACTCTAACTCCCACTCTCATTCCTACACTCACTCCCACTCTCACTCTCACTTCTACTCCTATACACAAAAGGCCAAATAAGAAAGTTTCATTGTTCTAGCTTCAAAAACCACGAATTTCCATACAAACTTTCAACCCCCTATCAACACTTTTTTGGCATTATTATTAATGCCAAAAAAGGGCCTATGTCCTTTCTCAGGCTCTCAAATATCTGTGTACCAATTTCATTTAAATCAACTTAGTAGTTTTGGAGTTAAAGCCGGAGAGACAGAGTTACTTTCGCATTTATAATATTAGTATAGATGTAGGTGCAGGTAACTTACCGTAGGCCCATCAGGGGCAGATGTGGCAAATGTTGAGCACCAGCTTCACTGCACCACTCGGGATAAGCACGACGAAATTCTGCGAAGTCACCTGTTGACAATACGACAATATCTATAGATTTGAGTAGAATAATATAACAAGAAACGTCGGGCCGTAGTTAAAACAATTACCGAATAAGATGAACTTATACATATATAGCGTATCTTTAAAAAAAAGTACATAATATATAAAGCGGTTACGTTTGATGGTAGTTTCTTGTAATTAAAAATAAATTGTATGAAATGAGCACGTATAAACGATCAATTGTATAAAGATGAGAGGCGGACGGCGGAGGAAATCGAGGCGTCGCGTCCGGTGCGTCAGACCTACTTCCGGTTGTCCGCGCCACTATTGTGATGTTAATATCGCCTACTTTACATTATATTCATCCAGTAGCTGGGCCTAAACAGATCTTTAATATTATAAAGCTGTAAAGTTTGTTTCGACGCACTATTATCAGGAACTACTGGTTCGAACTAAAAAAATCTTTTTATGTTGGTTGGTGAGGAAGGCTTTAGGTTATACTACATCAGGCTGCGACCAATAGGAGCGAAGGAACAGTGGAATATGTGTAACAGACGGGGACAATGATTCTTCTTTGAGAGTTTCCGTTGCGTGCGCTGCGAAGACATACCAAAAAATATGTATGTACCGATGAAAAATGATTCTTCTTTTAAGTTTAACTCGCAACAACGACGGGCCGAAGATTTTTGCAAGAATAAAAAAAAAATACAAAATAGTAGTCCAAAATAACTACCGGCACGGACACCTAACAATCAACACCTAACTAACGACACCTAGCACGGAACGCCGTAGATGACAATGACGAAATTTTTTTCACTTTATTTTCGATTTTGAAATAATAAAGGTACTATAGTTCATAGAGACACATATAAGGACTTTTTGGAGCAGCGAAAGATCAAATCCATTTCACTCGTGTATACAATTTTCAAAGCTCCAGTAAACGAAGATAGATTGTGTACATCGGTTCGCCGTAACTAGATTATACGATTATTTCTGCCACTATGTCTTCTTGGAGACTAATCCTCTTTGAATCATGCACGTTTTATAGTCACTATGTTCTATATGAAATATGTATATTTATAGAAGTAACAGGGCCACATTAAAAAATTATAAACAGTAAGGATGGACTTTACCAAATGTTAGTTGCCAAATTACTTAAATATTATATTTAAGTTAGATAAATCGTAGGTTAAAAACTGCACAAGGTAACTGAGCACAAATTATTATTTTTACATGAATTAATCAGTGTTACTTTGCAGTTTACAGTGTTGTTTGTCCTTAACCCGAATTTAATCAACAATTTTTGGTTAAATTACTAAATTTCTGAAAACGACTGTTTATAGCAATGTTCCACTTTAGATGTGTCTTTTATTCGTATGTTTAGTTGTAAATTAACACATTGGACATGTACTAATACGGAGTTTATACACTAACTAAGACACGATCTCTTCCACACAACCCAGAATGAAAGAAAAATAAGCTTATGGGAAATGAGATCTGCAAGGGTGTTTATAAACACTTATAATATTTTAATGTATAGTATTCTACTCTACGTTAGATGTAGAGACCATTCTCTAGTGATATCTTAGGTTTATTCCTAAGTTGAAAGCCCGTGGGTGCTCCGAACAAGGCAATGTCCACTGGTTCACAGCGTGTGGGCAGATCTTCGACGTGGGTGTAACCTTGCCAATCGCCTAACTTGTTAAACTAACGTGATGCTTCGCGTGGGTTCGGAATGTTTTGATATAACATCTCATATTTTGCTAGTTTAAAAATAATAAAATTAAAGATTTTCATTACATTAACCGTAGCCAGCTAACCTTCCTTATCTTCTAATTCTATCTTCTTTTTTTTCAGAATTTATAGTTTATGTATATTAAGTTTACAGTTCTTAGCTAAGTTTTGGAGCTCTGTTGTAATTGTTAATGGCCTAATTACGTAATGTAGAGCCACACTTGGAAAAGAGTCACGAGCAACGAATTCATATGTTTTTAAATTGTATCTATGCAAGTTATAATCTTAGTTTTTTTATCTTTTTTTACTGCATCTGCATACCTAATTATTTCTACATAATATATCGGTTTAAATTAGAAAGCTTTTGATTAATCGCCCTGATAATAATGCTTTCCCTTTAGAGATACGTAGTCGTACTCTAACGGCCTAATTTAGTCAGTTGACACAGTAGCGAATTCTTTTGATAAACAGAGACCCAGCAGCAACGGCCGTTGGGCGCAGGCGCGTGTGCCAGGGGTGAGGGGCGAGGGGCTTCAGCATCGATCCGATGAGTCATCGAGTCTGCCCATTCATCCGCCGCACTCAATGAATCGCCGTAGAACCCCGCGCCCCGCGCGCACCCCCGCGGACCCACCACCCGGCCGGTGTCCTCGCCAACAAGGACTCCATTAAAATCACCCCTCCGTTCTCGGTGGATGAATCAAAACCTTGAAACGCCCACGTAAAGACTGCGTGAATGTACGAAAGTTCCTTAATGATCTCAACACTTTCCTATATATCATTGGTTTACATGTGATGGATACGTTTGTCAGTGATTTAGGTTTAAATACATGATGCCAATATACATAACGTGGATAAGAGACTTTTTATCCCAAAAAAATTCAGCGGAACGAATGAGAAGATTTGGACCAGTTTTATTTTTTAATTATTTATAATAGAAGAAAAGAGACAAGCATGCGATGTCGACCTATTTTGGCTTTGAATATTCGAGAAATCCACAGACTGAAATCGTTGGATAACAAATATTATACAGCCACCTTACCCAAACAGCAGACTATCAAAGCGGAAACGCCATTTTGATGGCGCGGTTAAAGAACGGAAGACGAGCTAACGGCTAAATGAGGCAAAAATGGAAACCAGTAATTGATTAAATAGGTGGCAAACCACAAGCACGCACCGCCTTAATAAAAAAACCAATGTAACGGTTTTAGCGGGTTTTACCGCAAGTAAAATAAATTCATTCCCATATCCTGTATGTACTTCGGGAATGTTTAAACAGAATATCTAACACATTAGTTTTCTCAGTATTATAACAGTATGCGTATTTCATCGGGCATTCTACAACATATTATGAAGTTACGTTTCACCTTATGTATATGCAGTAAAATATAAAAACAGCAAGAGGACAATTCAGGGCATATTTAAAAAGGTTTTAGGTAAGCGTTTAAAGAACACGGAGAGATAGTATGTGTTCCGTCCGGGGTCTACTCATGCGAGGGTGGGGAGGTGTGCCAGGGTGGTGTAGCCTTGGAACCAATCCCCTCTCCACTACAACCTTGTATTTCGCTTAATCCACTAACAATCTATGATAAGCTTGAACAATTAATGCACTCAGAAACATCGATTGGAAGATAGAATATTCAAATCTTAATGGATGGTCTTAGTTATTTGTGTAAAATTTTTGCAATTTACAAAACATGAGGGACTCGAACCAAAGGCAGGCGGTGGCAGAAGCTCTCTTATTTGTAATTTAAAAAATTAACCTGTATACACTATCGATTGAATAAAGGAAAACAAAATTGTTATATATATTATGTGAACATAATTGTAAAAATTGACAATTTGCTTAAATAAAATAAAACGCTCATGATACTAAAACTAGTTCTGTATTATATACGTAACATATATTTCAGTAGCAATCATTACTCAACAGTAAAAAGCGTACTTTTTAACTGTAAAACAACGAAGTAACCTTGAAAACCAGTACGATTTACTTGAAAATTCGCTTCACTTTCACAAGAGCGAACCCTTGAAGGAAAACAATGTAAGGATAAAAATAGAGAATTTATTTAACAAGCTCCACGAATGACGTCATACAAGTTGGTTTGGTTTCTAAGAAGCGGTTGAGAATTTCGGATGTTTAAACCATACGTCCAAAATAAACTCACGCGATGAGAGAGTGGATAAAGGGAAATTGGATAATCATATGATTATATTAGAATAAATTCGGAAAATATTGTAATTCGTCTGCAGCCCTAATAAAAGATCTTTTCCGACTTTTATTCGTCGCATAACATTAACACTTTTGGAAGACCGGACAAAGAGCTAAAACAAGATGTCTTCACTCGTTTCATAAGTTTTGATTTTCCACTATTCCTCGCAGTTATAATATATGCACTATAGCTAAACCTTCACAAACAAACATATCATCATTAGATGCAGGCCAACAGCAAAACTCGTTCATGCACATTAAACCAATTAAGAGTTACTCGGCTCGCTTTCAAAACGATAATAGTCGTGGCACCATCGAAGAAATGATAAGTCGGGAGATAAGTATATCAGAAAACTCGACTTCCCTTCATTCGATAATGCTGTCATAATGCCAAACCTAACAAATAGGCATCGCATTGTGCTCGTTCTGTTTCGAATGATAAACGCGCATTTTACCCTCTTAATTCATCTAGCTGCGACCATTAAAACGACCTTTAGAACAAGTTTTTTTTATTGCGGGCCTAACGTAGCGAAACGAGACAAAAATTATTCAGAATACAATGAACGGAGTATCCGCGGGTCGGACGTTACATCGACGTGCAAAAAACCTTCAATGACAATGATCTTGGTTGCGAATTACGACGTACTTATTTAATTCATTAGGATTTAAATAAAACACTTTAACGGTTTAAAACGCGATACATTAGTTAAACTTATTTGAAAATTATTTTTAACTTCGGCCCGACGTTTCGGATGCTTTGCAGCAGCCGTGGTCACGGGGAGACTATAGACAGTATTTCATTAGGTTTCGCTTAGGTTGAAAACGGGGTCCTATTATAATTTTACTAGGTCTGTCGGTCTGTCACTAGGCTGTGTCTAATGAATTCATTCGGACAGTATTGCAGAACAAAAACAGAGGAGCTACAATACAATACTACAATTTCTGCTGTTTTAAAAGATCGTGCTACGGAACCCTGCATTCGAGGCCAACCCGGCACTTGGCCGGTTTTTTATTTTCCATTGTTGTCCATTGTATTATTATTATCACTACAATTCATTCATTTCATTGAAATACGTAATAACTACTTTAGTCATAGAGGAATTAATTAAAATAATAGAGGTTTAGTGAATCACTTCTGCCTCCGTCAGTAACGGGAATATAAACATATAAATATATTTCCTGGGCCAATTTAATTCTCCCTATGATCTCACCTTAAGCCAATATAAACCAGATGTTCAAAACTCTTGGTACGAGTAAATGTGGTTTCTGTTAAGCATTTACTGAACTAGCGACGTCATCCTGTATTCATGTTATGCCGCGATTGCATAAGAATTTCGCAAAGCCGGCAGATTGGATGTTTTATTATTTAAATTAGTTATTATATCTTTACAAATATTAAGGAGTTCAAGATTTTGACATTCAATAGCCTACAGCTGGGTCATTGATAACTAGCTACATAACGATTGCTTTTTTCTTTTTTACTTGAATGGTTGGGACGGGCATACATTAAAATGAATTGACTTATTTGACTGAGAAACTGTCACAAAGATGTGTTTGTTCTATGCTTTATGACTTTTAACTTTTTAATTCTTTAATATTATGATATATCTCTCTATAATTTCAGAGGTACCACTACTAATAAAACAGTTGATTTAGGTTGGCATGTCCGTCGTTTTATGATCTGTGGACATCTTTCATAAATATGCATAATATATTAGCATGTAGTGATAGTTGAATGTTGGTGAGACGTGAGTGAAACAGGAACTTATTAATAATAAAATTGCGGCCCTCTTCCGTTGGCCGAAGACCGAGCGATATACATCCGGCCGCCTTTGATGATGCTAGGAACATTAAATATTAGGTATTCAGTTTGACGAAAATATTGCCTAATAAATATTTCCTATTTCCTCTTTTATGTCGACATACTGGTTTTGCGATTAAATTAAATTGGACTCGACATTACTTTAATATTATAAACGCAAAGGTTTGTGAACATTTTTGCATGGATATTTGTGGATATTGACTCTTCATAATTTTTTAAAATTATTTATGCGGATTACATATACTAATCAGAATATTCACTTGACTCCGCAACTCAATGGTTCAACACTGGGATTAATTCGAAAAGTTCTGTATTTAAATGATGAAATTGAAGAGGAACGCACTCAAAAATGTATCTGCCCCATGATCTAAATAGGGGAAACGGGATTTCATATAACATAAAATAAAAAAACGCGCGCATAGCCTCATTTAGTAAATCAAATATATGTAATTTCTAACTTGATACATAATTGCGTGTTATGGCATTACTTCACACACGTATATAAGCATAAATGATAAAACGTAATGGTCGGAAACGTAAAGGCGCTCGAGAGTGGCGATCCTAATCTATCGTCTCGCATTGAGGAGCACAATGAGGAGCAGACTTCCTCTCCCACGTTTGGCGGAGCGGATGCCTCGACTTGCGACCCCGCCATTACGGGCCTTATATTATTATTGAAACTTTTATTACAACTAGCGTCTGAATTTAGAGTTTGTTTATTAAGAATAATATCTTTGTTACACAATAAACTAAAACTTCTATGTATTTGAATATAACACGAGTTAAAAACCAATAACAATACATTTCTCTTTCAGGTGTTTTTTAACAGTAGCATGGTATCCAGTTGATTAAAAGTGAAGAATACCTCGGCTACACAGCCAGTCACTGCATAGCATCTCAATAGGATACACTTATAACCTATTGCAGCTTTGGACAAGGTTTCGTTTGTTAAAATTGAATAGCTTTTATAATAAAAGATATTTGACAATAACAGTTACATTATTATAATATTTGATACATGCAAAATATAAAAGGATGATTTGCTACAAGCAAGCAAATTTTGATTACTTGAAATTTTTTTATGTCAAAGCAATGGGTTTCTTTTGATATGTAAATTTGATAATATATACATACATACATGTGTTGCTGGGAAATAGTGAAGAATTTCAAAACGCTTTCTCATTACACATAATATTATAAGTCAAACTATAAATACTTCATTTATCATCTCTCTTAATAAGTAAGTAATTAAAATACTGCTTCGAAGGATCATGTTGACCAGTGTAGAATTTATAACACTCTCATAGCTCATTTTGAGGACTTGTTACAATTAAAGCATATTAGTAGTACTGATGATACCTCATAAATCAAACATTGTTTAAAACAATCCTCTACTTAGCTTATGTTGCACTTTTTCTTAATTGGTGCAGCTAAAGTAAGTATCTTATCAAATATGAACAAATTAAATTTTTATTTACCTTCAAGGCAGACAACCTGAACGCCATCTTGCTTTAGCCGCTTCAGAAGTATACCATGCACAGAGTCAGGGTCCCTCGTTGCCCCATCACTGTACAGAACGAAAGTCCCTCGCGAACAGCAATGTGTTATTCGAGCTTTTAACTCCTTACATTGAACTGTCGATGCTAGCTCAATCTTTCCAGCTGCTAATCTTCGCAGCATTATACTAGGGATGGAAAAGTTCACAGCAGAACGTATATGTGATGCTGCATACTCGTTGGACCCTCGACAATCAATCAAGACTGTGTCCCTTTCATCCGATCTTAACTTTGCTAATAGCCACTCCTTAGACACTAAGTCACACTCGCATTCAGAGTCCGTAGGCATCTTGGACACTCAAATTTTATTAACGAGTCTTAGACAAGCCTGTTGCACCCACTTAAATGTTTAAATTACACAAACAAGACAGTCATTATATTAACGTGTTTTGAAAACTACAAATAAAAAAACGCTTAAATACTACACAACGAACTACAACAATATGCACTCTCAATGATCAATGTAAGACATTAAACAAAACCGTAAACTTCAAGTCTCGTGGTCCATCACTGGAGCCCATCAAGCTCATACAAAATACAAATCACAAAATCTACGCACGATACAAAATTCTCAATGGCGGTGTTGCTAGCTTCAACCACTGCATTCGCTGGGTTTACAAAAATGTAATACGTTTACTTATTCATATTGTAAGCGATACGAAATAAAATAAATAAAAATAATTATAAAATAATAATGGATGGTTTTTGCTTAGTTGATGTTAGATTATGAAAATAATAGGTTTATGTAATAATCTATTGATTCCTTAGAAAGGGCTCTTCTCTTTGCAGCCCTTCAAATAATCTCATTAAAATAAAAGTTGCTTTAAATTACATAATAAATACGTTTCCAATTTTTTAAGTAACAAAATAATGTCACAGTTCGCTAAATAGTTTATCGTAGTCTGTGAATTAACATATCTGTGGCTGAGCTTAGGTTCCAAGGTCGTTATTTTTATTGTCTATGCCGCTTGATTACGGTCTAAACCTATTTCGATGGGCGTTAACTTGGTAAATCTGTGGTTACATAATAATCATCGGTTATAAGTAATTATACCTACTATAAAATTACATTCTTCTATGAATGGGATACTATATTATTTTATGGAATAACCTAGAAGTATGGAATTGGGGTAAATAAAAATTAAATACATATCTGCGTATCGTTAATTTATTAAAATTTTAAGTAAATGAAATACAATAATTCCTATGATAATATACTTAATTTGTGTTATAAAATTCCAATTTTATCAGGTAAATAGTAATAATAATAATCGGAACTAGAGCATTTAATTATATACAAGCTAAGGTATAATATAAGTAGAAACATCTACAAATTAAAAATGAGTTTTCTAATTGACTATCGTTGGGTGAAAATAATGGGAATATATTATATCCCACATAACTCTAAATATAAACTAGAGCTCGTCGACAAGACTATCTCCCCTTACACATTCTTATTTAAGGCTAAATTTAATTTTAACTTTAAATAAACATTTCATTTACAAATAACTTGATCATAATTGTTTACATAATATAGTATTTACAATAATTATGTTGGTCACATGAATAACATTTGTATTTTTGGATTTTAAAAATTTCAACGAAAAGCTAAAGACACTTTTCTTTAGACTTCCTATGAAGCCTATAAACCTAGTCTAGTCTAGAGATAACTAGAATCCAAAAAGCTTTTACTACTTATTGAATGATTCATATTAAATCAAAGCAAATTTTATTACAACAATACAAAACTTTTGGCACAAAACGTGCTTAATGATTATGTTAATTATTTCTATGTACACAAAAGGCTCACTTATTTATTGCTTTTGTTGGAAATAATTGAATTCCTTAAGAGATATTGATAATACATTTTTATATTCAATCTTAAGCGCTGCCAAAGAGGAATGCTTCTGGAAGAAAGAAATGTTCATTCTTTGGAATGTAATGAAGCTTAAAGAAAGTAAATGACAATTTTAATCATAATAGAGTTCCAACAATTTTTGTGGACAAAGTATATATAAAGGCACCCATAGACTGTGTTTATCTGGTCCATTCCAATAAAAGTCATTAAAACATTAACAATTCACTAAATTATAATGGCACAACCCAATTTAGAAATTTATAGGATTTTAATATTACTGTGCCATTCTATGATTTAAATTTTATCTCTACTGTTAATCTATGTGCTAAATAGTTGCTATTATTTACTATACAATAATAATTGCACTAGCTGCTAAGGCGTTACGGATATCTTATTGATATACATTCACAATAGTAAAATATATGTTTCAAAATATTACTTTTAACAATTATAAAATGTAAATTGGTGCATTGGGTTCGTTTAGTGAAGGCGAATGAGACATTGTCTCTACATCATATCGATAGCTATGGTCCGCGTGTAAATCTTATTTAAGATTCGAAACAGTAAAATAAATTATTTATCGCCGATGAGGCAAGTGTACAATAAGGTACTGTATAAGTAGATAAACATATTGCTTTAATACTGAATCAGCTGCAACGTTGGGGTTCTTCGAATCGGCAAACATTTTCGTGTCGCTTTGTTTAATGGACCGCGTCTATGTCCCTCTGTGCGCGGGATATTTTTACCTGAAAACGAAAAGAAATTCAACATTCACAAATCTCTGTGTATTCAAGTTATGTTACAAAGCAAGTTATATCAACAACGAATTGGGCGGTTTAAAAATGCTCGGTTACGTTTTGCTGTTCAATGGAGATTCAGACCTTGTCCTTCGGCGTGGAAGCTTCACCAGATTCCAAAGCGAACATTTTCATCTTTTCTTTGAAGGAGAGATGTTCTGGTATCGGTGCGGGAGCGGCTTTCGCTTGTTGCTCCGCCAATCGTCTTGCCCGTGGGTCTCTGTATCGAGAAATTGCGTTACTTAAAACAATTATATTTTTACGTACAGACAAAATAGATAAGGGTCTGAGTCGATTTTTAAATTAATGATAGGAAGAATAAGATCAAGAAAGAAATCTACCTGTAAACCTCCTGCGCACCGATAACGCCCGGAGTATGTGTACTCAACGGAGACGTATGTGATGTATTTGTTGATGCAGATGTAGCAGACAACATGTTTTCGGCTTCTTCTATAAAACGCTGTAAGAAAGGGAGTACCTGTAGTTAAAAGAAATTGAAAAAATTTTTCCTCCGGCCGGGCAGTACCGTATGAAATAATGTTTCTAATGTAATGTTATATTTCAATGTAATAATTTACGTTAATTCTTAGCCTAGTATGTGATAACATTTATTTTATCCAAAAAATAAGAGGAATAATATTTTATTAGTTATTAAATTAAAAAAAAACTTTGTAAAAAATAATCGCCTAAAATTAGTTATAATTTAAGTTTTTTCAAGAATAAGAAATACTTTGCTTTTAAAAAAACACGCATTACATGGACATAGAAATGTGTTCGGGAAACGGGGTTCCTTTACGTAGTTAAATGACCTTTCCTTGCTTATGACTTCCTATCTAGGTTAAGTAACCTAGTCCCGTTAGTGGATATAATTTATGGTTTATGCACTTACGTCAGGATCTTCTCGATGCGTAATGGGCGTCTCTAAAGGTGGTGGGGAGGAAGCCGGCGGCGCGGGAGGGCCGGTCGGCGTAGATTGGGCTGCAGGAGGCACTTGTGGTGACTGGACCGAATGGGAAACATCATGGTTCTCTGATGCACGCTCGTGGAAGGAAACCCGTTTGTCCCTTGTCGTACCCACAGGGGACCTGATATGAAGAATAAGATTAAAAGATGGTGTTATTACATAATGACAGTGGCATACATCACTAGTAAGGTTTCGTCTTGAAACTTGCTGTGCCAGGGACTTTGTCCGCGTAGAATAGTTATTTTGGGCGTCAAAGTTTGTTTTCACAAACCGCCTTCTTCCTATTTTTATAAATTATAGCTATTACGCACGACATCGGTCGCGTCCCGTCGTTCTTGCGAGTTAATCTTAAGATTATTTATAAAAATAGACAGATATTTTATCGCGGACATTTTTAGATCATTTAAAGAGGATCCATTCTTTCATACAAAGAGGATCATTTCTGGGTAATATGAACCAGGGTCTTTGCAGCACACGCAACGGAAATCCCCAGAGATGAACAATTTTTTCCATTTTTTGCGACATTACCCACGCTCCCTTCGCTCCTGGGGGTCGCAGCTGATACAGCCTAAAACCTTGCTGGATAATTGCTCCATAACAAACTCTTCAGCTTTATAATATAAGTATAGATGTAATAATTACTCACTGTGGAGGTTGATGGGGCGAAAGCGCCCGACGAGTTGCCATAACCGCGAAAGACGAGCCTCGTTCAGGCGGCGCAGGCGGCACTATGTCATTGCTACTAGCGTTCATGTTGCTGACATTCATATTATTGTTCATGCTGGCACTTGCTGATACTGACATATTAGATATGTTCGTCGACAACTCTGCTATCCGATTCTCTTCGTTTGTGATCTAGATAAAGAAGCAATAAAATATCGTAACATACTTCTTTTTTAAACTTTCAGTTACAATTTATAATGTAAACACATTCTTTTAGTAATTTCTTCTGATATATTTTCATTACCAATCATCTATATAAACTTATTTCTTGTACACTAGAATAAGCACAATAGAAGGCACTATTTTATAAAGAATTTTAAAATCAATCCACCAATCAAATGGGACAAATACGTATATGGAATATATAGAGAAATACGCATTTTGAACACATAAGAATGACTATCATAAAACCTTATTTATAATGGCCGAACCAATCAATAAAATTGTAAAGTTTATTATTTTAATAAACCGTTTTATACAATATATTAAAATTACCCAAAACGTGCCGTGACTAAGACTCTTAAACTTTGAATGATGTTGTAGCAATACAGGAGATATTCCATGTTAACAAATACACTATTGAGTTACTTTAAAACCTTTATATACTTACAACATGCGGTGGGTATCCGTTGACCATTTCGCTGCGGTTGGTCTTCAATATCGATTTGGGTGGTTGTGGTTGCGGCTGGGACGGTTGCATCTGCGGCTGTGGCTGTGCCATATATGACCCGTGTGAAGACCTTGACTCTCTATCGTTTTCCATAACGGGATCCGATGAGGGTGATTCGTCTTCGGGGCTGCCTTCGCCGTTGCCACCATCGTCCTATAACGTAGAAGAAAATAAAAGTTTGTATACCAAGTTAACGCAAGATTTTACAAGCTGTTTCTTATCATCGTCTAGGGTCTGAATGAACACCGTACCTGTTCGTGCTGTGTGGCTCTACGCTCGAAATCTCTTTCAAGCTGCAGTGCCCGCAGCTGCTGGTTCTGAACTGGCGTGCGAGACGCGCCTAATGCTACCAATTGAGCGATGGCCGCATCCCTGGAATAGATAATGTTAAAAAAGTTTTAAAAGTTGTTGTAATTACAATGACCTTTTTGTTGTAATTATTTGAAGATAATTCCATTCCAATATATATTTTTTTTACTACTTGCTGACTTGGCAAACTTTATTTTGCGATCAAACAAACAAACTCTTCAGCGGTATAATGATTATGAATAAATGTATTTTTAAATAAAGCACTTTAACGGTTTAAAACTCGATATATTAGTTACACTTATTTGAAAATGATTTTTAACTTCGGCCCGACGGTCTCCGTGACCACGGCTCCATTAAAAAAAACACGGCCACGGCCAGTGGTTTAATTAAATGTGTACTACTCGCGTAAACTATAGATGATATTAACTGTATTTTTGTTAGCTTTCATTTAATATGGGTAATTCATAAGAGACTTCGATATACCTTCTCGCACGTGCTGCAGCCCGCCTTGCCTCAGCCTGTCGCTCCCGCTCTTCACGCTGCCAAGGGTTATGGGCGGGCTCTTGTCTTCCTGCGTTGCCCGCCCCAGACGTCCCGTAAACGGACACGGCGGGCGGTTCTAACGCGCTCGCCACATAATGTTCTATTTATAAAAATCGATATCATTATACATATATATATTTTTTAAACAAGCTATAGTTATTTAAAAAAATATGTATGTATAAGGGTTTTTGTTGTTAGGGGATTATGAATATAATGAGATTATTCCGATCACCAACTTTACGGCGAATACAAATTACGTTAATTTTTAAATAGTTTGTTTTTTTATGATAGTCCTCTCTGATCTGATGATTAGATGTGCGGTCGACCAATTTTGGCATCCGATATTCGGAAAACTACAAACCGAAACGTGATTAAGCTTTACGGCTTTTTCATTTGTGTATTCTGGGTTGTGACCCGGACGGAATTTCGGTATTCCTACCACCCAATCAATATCTTAATAATATATATAAGTTCTAATTATAAAACTTCTTGGCCGGTGGGCATCGAACCGTCGTCCGTCCCGTCGAATGTATTGTTGCACCATTTTCTTAACAAAGTAAATGTTTACCTTCATCCGGTTGTATCGCATTCGTCATATTATGTGACTGTTGACTGTGCTGACTCAGGTCGTCTATGTCGATTTCCGATCTCCTCGGACCCTGTGGTTTTGGAGCAACTGGCGGCTGAGACCTTTGAGGGGAGGGCGGTCCTGGTTGGTGCCATTCGTAACTAAAAAAAAAGTTTTCTAACGGATAAAAAACCAAACCTTTTGATTCAGAATAATCTTTGTTAAACTATTTATTTTGTTTATTTTAATACTAGCTGCGCCCGCGACTTCGTCCGCGTGGAATAGTGATATGGGGTAGAATTTTTAACTATTTAGGCTGTTTATTAATTTATGTAAGGGTGCATCTATAGTGCGACTTTGCCGCAATACTGCGACTCTCACCTCACTCTTTTTCAACTCCTATCATTAAAGTGTATGTCTTTTCTCAGGCTCTAAAACATCTGTGTACCAAATTTCATTTAAATCAGTTCAGTAGTTTCGGAGTTTAAAGCCGGACAGATAGACAGAGTTACTTTCGCATTTATAATATTAGTATAGTAATTACATAAATAAGACAGGTGAGAGTCATTTATTTAGAGCTTTTGCAGGTTTTGGCATTACTACTTTTTAAATATTTTCTATGTGTAAAATAAAAATAATATTTTTAATATTTTTTTTTTGTATAAACTTACCGCTGTGGCGGAACATGTTGATTATGGTAGTGCATCTGATTCTGAGAGTGCAAATACTGCGATCCGTGGAGTTGAGGTGACGGCTGTTGATTCTGAGGACTAAGCGCCTGTAAGGCCTGCATAGAACCCTGAATGTTCTGCAATCCTTGCACGGACCCATGCATGTTTTGCAAGCCGAGCATCGAACCCTGGTTTTGTAGCCCGTGCATTGAACCTTGTACGTTTTGTAATCCGTGCTGGGAACCCAGATTTTGTAAGCCTTGCGGTGATGAATTGTACCCCGCCGGGCCCTGTCCGTAGCCTGTTTGCACGTACATTTGCGGCATCTGTTTCTGATATTGCATTTGCTGTGTTTGCATATTCTGTTGTTGCTGTAGATGTTGATGCTGCATCTGTTGACGTCGGGTCACTTCTTCGGACATTTCAGCTAATTTTGCGGCACGCGCGTTCGCTTGACTTAGCTTTAAATTAAGAATTATAAGTAAGTATTTTCAAGAAGAGTTAAGAAGAAGTAAGGGTCAGCAGTTGGGACTCCGGTTGTGAACCAAAAAAACTATTATAGGATGATTTTATAGATTGATGTTAACTGTAACGCCAAAGTAAAAAGCTCTGAGTACCTGGTGTTGTTGTTGAAGTGGGCTGAGGTCACTATTGGGTTCCGTAGCATTGAAATGAGCGGATTGCGGCCGTCCACTCCCCGACGAGCGGAGCGAAGACCATCTGCTGTAAGGTTTAGAAAATTACAGTCTTGATCGTTTGTTATTTTAACATTTTACCAGCTCGGATGTAGACTTAAAATGCTTAACTAATTATATAAAATATATTAAAAACCATGTCAAATGCAAAATAAGTACACAACAAAGCTAAGTAATATATATCGCGTTTTAAACCGTTTTGAAGTGTTTTATTTAAATGCGTACTATATGCGTAATATTTATAAAAAAGGTCCTCACCTATCTTGCTTGTCGTGCACGGATGAAAGGTTTTGATAGAAGGAATCCCCATGAGGCGTGGACAGGTTGTGACTGCTCCTGGACTTTGTAGCCCATGAGCTGTTTCCCGCCGACTGACCACCCGGACTTAATGGACCGCTAAAGCACAAGTATATTTTTTATTACCAATTATGTACTTTTTGTAGTACTTAAATTAAAAGTTCTTTATAAACATGATAACTGAATATTGGGCGTCATACTAACGTGTAATGGTGATGTGCGGGCGGAAGCGGATGCGGATGCGGCTGCGGCGCGGGCTGCGGTGCGGCATGGTGTAGTGCTGGCGTGCTCTTGCTGGGCTTGACCGGCTCTGCTGCTAGACGAGACGGCAGGTCCCGCTCGGAGGCCCGACGAGCGCCCGTTCCAACAACACCACCCGCACCTCCACCTATTTGTAATAAAGAGCCATTTGAAATAAAAATTTAAAGTATTTCTTTCAAGGTGATAAATCTGAAGCGACTTACAAGTCTCCATCAACAACTAAATCGAGTATCTAATGCATGCGAAGAACATAATAAAATAACTTGCACAAAAGTATTGTGCCAAAAGAAAAATAAATTTGCTACGCATGCAACTGTACTCTGCTCGAATAAAGTGAAATACATATTTCGTTGATTCGCGTAATCGCGTGAGGTGCTGGAAACTTAAAATAACCATAAAATCAATAAAATGTCGCCGATAATAGCAAGGTGTAAACAAAACTCCTGAAGCTTTCATGATATCTGTAAAAGAAACAACAGTACCATGCTGAACAATACGTTCTTTTAGAACATTAAATAAAAATCTATATGTATGAACAACATGACATAATTAAAAAAAAACGAAATCGACTATGTATGATTGTAAAAGACAACGATGTATAGCGGTGCGGACAGCAACACACCTATCTCATGCGCTGTGTGGGGAAGTCTTACGCGAAGTAGTGTCAGACGAGAGAAGCAATGACGTAGGGCAGCTCTGAAACCTGTCGCTTGTACTGAGCTCGGGACAACTCTGCACCATCGCGTCACTCCAGCCCGGCTGTTTGGACAGTCGAGACGTGGTAGAAACATCCGTGGAAGACATTTGTGCGCGACGCAATATCCCCACAATCCTCGGTGCTGATGAATTATCGTATTTACCCGTGCTCTGAGTAATGCAAGAATCTTTACTAGATTTCACTGAACCATTACACTGTTTTAGCTTGATATTGTCCAGTGTTATAACTCTCGGTGTTTTATCGATCTCGTTAAAGACCAGACTATCGTAGATTGAAGCATTTGTATCTGTGTGATCCTCTGACGGTAGATTCGGTAACTCGAATTCGTTACCCTGAGCTAGAGTATCCTCACTGCCTCTGGAGCCAAACTTTGACCAGTCCTCCAATTGTATTAAAATACTCTTAACTTCTTCTTCAGACAGCTTGCTTTTACTGCTACTGGTGTTTTTCTTGCTCTGCTCACACTGTACATCAGCCAGGCTAACGCTAGTGGGTAAACTGAGTTTATGTTTAGGAGACATATCCGGACGAACGCTCAAATTCGGGCTCGACTGACAGTTTCGTTTATAATTTTTGACACAGTAAGTGAGATTGATTTGATTAAAGCGTTTCGTCAATTCTTTGACTTTGCCAAACGGCGGTCGGTATTCATCGGGGGATTTCCAAGATTTTTTTTCCGCGGCTAAAGTCTTTGTATCGATTACGTTGCCCTTCTCAATTTTCTGACGTTTATCTACATTTAAACATTCGAGAGGTTCTTTAATCGATGCTGTAGAAGTTTCTTCTGTCTCGTCAGATTTACTGGACAACGACTTGGACATATTGAATATAGTGCGTTTTAACCTAGACTGGGTATCTTGTAAGTTTTTGAATTCCCTATTTAATTTCAAACCTAATTCAAACTTTTGGCGGAATACTTTTGAAGACGTTATAGGTTTCGCTTCAATTTCCGACGGCGAAGGTGGAGTCTGACACATAGCATCAGCCATTGCTGGCCTCTCTTCAGATTTATCGAGTGAAAGAGATGGTAGTATTCTTCTCACTTTTGGGGTAACAATTTTTTCGTTTACGCCGTCCTTTTCAAATATTATCGGTTCATAGTTTGGTTCGTCGATGTATGGTATTTGTTGAGTCTCGGGTTGGGGGGTGCGACAACAATCACATGCGCTTACACAATCGCCTACGCCAGTGCATCTGCGTGTATAGCAGTCCGTGGCACGTGGATTGCATAAATCTAGCATTAGCCTAGTACTGATGGGTTTCATTTCTGGTGGTAAAATGTGTTCACCACTTTCATACGTCTGTTCGTAATTTAAAGGAGGTTCTGGCACAGGTGGCGGAATTTCATATGGAACGTGAGTATCCTTCTGTGAAAGATTACTCGAGTCTACATCATCCTCGTCACATGTGAATGTGAATATAGGGATTTGCCTCTGTGATATTGACCCACAGCTGAGCTCTGGACAATTTGGAGTTTCTGGAGATAAATCGTCCTGCAACTCATTATTTTCTCTATCTAACGTTACAATGAGACGAGGAATCGAACCGTGGTAGTACGATAAGAATTCCTCACTATCATCAGTCGTGCTAGACTCGGACGACATGTTTCTTAATAGATGACACCGGCTATGATTGGGGCGACGACCGTATCCTGTAATAAGAAACCTTCTTCAATTATTAAGTGGCTATGACGAGATTATACAAGAAAGCCGAACAAAATAAAACGAAACGTAACATCGGAACTCTGGGATTGGATTAACTGAAAGAAAAGATTGCAACGGAACGTTTAAATGATAGTGAAGTGGTTTGCCTGCTGTTGCCAGTTCAGAGAGTGGCGACGCCGGTTTGAGGAGAGCTGGGTGTCGGTTTATGAACGTGCCTGAATTTCGACGCGCGCGGTCTTCGTATTGAATCTCATCATCTAAGGGTATAACAATTAATAAATTACACTCATAACGTTTACCTCAGTTTAAAATCATCACAAGAAAAAGTCGTCTCATCACCAACCTCCAAGGAGATGTTAACATATCCTGATGTTGGTGTGAAAGAGAATGTTCATTAAACACCAATTTTAATATGAATTTTACCTTGTCGTTGTTGAGTGTATGTTGGTTGATGTAACAGTGTTGCGAGGCCATGTAGAACCGCTCCCTGCTTCGCTACTTCGAGGGTAACTGTCGGTCCTGTTCTTACAAGATATTCCGCTGCCTGTTAATTAATACATATAGTTTAAGATATAATTATGCTAACCTTTGTATATGTAACATATTGTTATTCAGATCTAGATAATTTTATTTCGCATTCCTACCAACACGTTCATAGTATAATAAACATGTCGTTTGGTAGAATACCTCATGAAGCAACTTAAAACATATTGATGAACCGCTCGCCCATAATTGTATAAAAGTCCATACCGTGCATTTAATGCTTGCTTATAGTATTTATATCAAGGCTGAATTAGCCAAGAGATTTAATGTAACATTTGCCTCTGTCAATCATAGAAATTTTCTAAGAAGACGATTGAGATTACTTATATGAACAAACCTTCTCTTGTGATATGCCAACAAGTGAGTGCCCATCAACAGAAAGCAGTTGATCGCCCGCTGCCAGCCGTCCGTCTGCAGCCGCCGCACCACCAGCCACGACAGATTTTATATAGATACCCAGCTTACTCTGACCGGCGCCCTGTAAAATTCAAATATGTAAAAGTCTACGACAGAAAAAAATTAATTCGATTTTAAATTGAAAAAAAAAATTACGGCACGGAACTTGAACCGGCATCCACATTTCTGTGCTGTTGCTCTAATGATCTCTAATAATATGAGCTACGATGTCCTACATGTCGATTTTTTAAACCTATTAATGCACGCAACTCCCGCGCAATATGCCGATCTAAAATATTTTTTAATTTTAATGCCATCATGTGCAATAACACATGTGAAAAATATTTGTCATTATTAAAAACAACGAATTATGAACCTTTGCAGCGACAATGCTTAGTCCCATTCCGTTGGTGTTCTTGTGTAGTTGTATTATCTGTGGTCTTGGATCTGGCGGTCGTCGTGGTTGTGATCCATATGAGTGCATATACACAGTCCATAGTCCCAGGGCGTGGGGTTGGTGCGCGAGACGACAAAAACCGCCACGTTGTAGGGGCGCTACGAACTCAGCAAGCCCGGGAGGCACGCCTCGCACCACTTCCGCACTGAATCCATCTCCCGGTATTAGAAGAGCCGCGCCCAACCATTCACTTTCTTCTAGTCGGATCTATATTCAAATAATAACATAATATGTTTTTTAATAAGAAACGCTAATTTTAATGATGATTTAATAACGGTTATTTGACAAATTATTAAATGGTGAGAACGGTTACATATATCGGTACGAACATAACAAAGGAATGGAAAGAAATCTTTTTTGGAAGCCAATATTTTACGTATTAGTATGAACTTTTGACGAGCTCGTTGATCGAATGGTAGCAATGTATAGCTAACGGGTCGTGGGTGCAATCATCACCGGGTCCAACATGTTTCTAATTTTTAAATTTATAATTTTCCTGTAACGTATTGCACAGTCTGGATAATAAATAGATGGGTACTATGAAGTCTGGAAATAAATAGATAGGTAACTATTGACAGTCTGGATAAAAATAGGTGGGTAACATGAGTCTGGATAATAAATAGGTGGGTAAATGACAGTCTGGATAATAAAAGGTGGGTAACTATTGCAGTCTGGAAATAAATAGGTGGGTAACTATTCAGTCTGGATAATAAATAGGTGGGTAACGTATTACAGTCTGAAAAAATAGGTGGGTAACTATTCTGGATAAAAAAGGTATATGGAACGGCCGGGCCATGGACCACCAGTTAGAAAAGCCGTGAAATAACAGGGTGTCAGTCTGTTTCGGTCTGTGAATTTCCGAATATCAAAAGCCAAAATAGATCGACAGCGCATCATACTTAGATGTTATGTGGCTGGAGGGGTATATCACATCCCATCAAGTGAACCCTATGTTTGTCTGTCCTGCTCTATAATAAAAATAATATAAAATACCTCTCTTCCATCAGCTCTATACAGCTCGTCGGCGAGAGCCCTCGCGTGTGCTACAGCCGCTTCGACTAAATCAGGGGGTAGAAGCGGCGTAAGCAAAGCCCTAACTTGCACAGAGTTGAGCTTGAAGCAAGCCGCTAGCGCAGCCCGAACGTCGTCTGCAGTCCGATATTCTCCTTGGATCAGGCGCGCTGTCGAAAAATTAAATATAGTGTTTTTAAATACGTCTCTTCGTCCCTTTTAAAATAGAAAATCTTTGATTACTAATTAGAAACAATTAGCTAATTTTATTATTTTAATCGGTATTGTTTAGATAAAATTGACCACGTGATTTTATACTTTGTATTAGATTTAAATATATATTCTGGACTCTATAACAATTAAGAAAGACGCGTCCCATACTTGTATTTTAGGAAATACTAGGTATGCCAGCGGACTTCATCCGCGTAGAATAGTTATTTTGGGCAAAATTTGTTCCTGCAAATCCTTTTCTTAATTTTTATCAATTATAGTTACGATCCGCGATGTTAGATGCGTCCTGTCGTTATTGCAAGTTAATTTTAAAAGACATTTAGATCATATAAAGAGGAATCATTCATACATATATTTTGGGTGTCTTGAAAGCAGCCTGATGTTTTATGGTCTAAATCCATCATCGATAAATGCTTTAATAAAAACAAAGAATTTTTCAAATCGCACTGGTAGTTCCTGAGATTAGCGCGTTTAAACAAACGTTTCAGTTTTATAATATAAGAAAAGATAGTGCACTTTAGATGAAACACAAATCGTTGCTGACCTGCTCTATGCGTTCTAGCGAGATGGCAGTCAGCTGCTAGCTCTAGGCCTTGCCGTTCCGCCCAAGCAGCTAGCAAGGCGAGGCGAGCAGATAGGGCAGCGCCCCATCGCGGACTTATGTTGCTCGGCTCCGAAATCAACTGCAATCAAAATATTCATTAATTTATGATTTAAATAATATATTAAAATTGCAAATTGATGGGGATTTGGCAAGGACCCACATGTACCAATTCAAATTATGTATGTATTAATTAACTAGGTTGCATTTTTATGCATATAGATATTTTTTAATCGTTTTGTTATCTTACCTTATTAAAAGCAATTGCATTGATAAAATGAAACAGATGCGAAAACAACTGAATCGTAAGGGCTGCGTTGACTCGACAGCGTCTTAGTAGTACCATGGCGGCTGCCAGAGCTTGTAGCACGGGGGCGGTGGCCTCAGTGTCGTCTGCCGCACCAGGCCGGGCCAACTCGCTAACAGCCACGCGTAGTTCCTCTTGGAAACAGGATACTAGATTACTGGAGAAGGAAATAATAAACATTACACGCTTGGAAAATTAAATAAATAAATATATGCTATTTTATGACTAAACGTAAAACCCAAATAATTCAAATTTCGAACCTGAAAGCGTTCTGTACAGTGGTTGGCAACAACTCCTGCGCCTGAGTGGAGAATGAGGAAATGTGTCGATCGCATTTGAGAAAGTGTAGTAGTTCGCTTGCATTCGCCATCCAGAAAGCTTGTGCTGCTGAATCCGAACAGCGCTCCTGTAGGAGATGGTTGTTTGGATAAACCTCTTACTAAAATTATTTCTTTCAAATGATGCCATATATCACTCGTATAATAAGAGAGAAAGAATGCCAAACCACACATTACATAGATTTGAAAATTTTTATAACAGAGAAGTACAAAACACTCGTAAGAAAAGTATTAAATTAATACAGATCATACTATAAAGATGAATGCGGGTAGTTCGATGCACGATCGTACTCGGTAGATGTGTAAAAAAACAAACCAACTTAATAAGCCTTTAATATAATTTATCATTCAAAGATAGTCAAAGATAGTAAGCGACATTAGTATACATATTTATTAGCATTATAAATTATCTTGGGTAGATACTATCAAAACATCAAAACTTATACTTAATCACACAAACACAATGACGTACGTACCTGCACAGTGGCGTGTATAAGAGTAGCAACGTGGTGAAGAAAAGCGGTCAATTTGTGAGCTCGCTCTGTTGGCGTCAACTCAGGTCGGTAGTGGGTGGAAGCACGGTATCTAGAAACCATAAAGACACATTAAAGAAAATATACTTTTACATTTAAATACATATACAATTACATACGTGAATAAAATTGATTAACAAATAAGATTTCGTAATGTAAAACGCAGAAATACATAATTAAAAAATAAATACGTAAGTATCAATCACCGTTGAAGGAATTAATTCAAAGCATTATACGTCGGGGCGAGACGGCTAACTTACTATTTTTACTGTCACTATTGCGTCCTCAATATGGATCTAATATCTTAAAGCTTCTACTAATGATCCTTGTTTGAAGAGTTTTACACTCTAATTATAAGTTTTAACAATCTGCATTTACTGAGGATTATTATATTCCATTATCCAGAGACGTACCTGGCACATAAGTACAGAGTGTACACTGGCGCCAACTTGAAGGCCGGCGCGTGGGGGTCGAGTCTGGTGATGACCGCGGCCAGGAACTGGGCCTGACCTGCCTCGGGGAATTCGAGTACTGCCGGAAGTATTGCCTCTTGGCCCGCGCGCCATGCCCCACTTCCGCTTCTAAAGAGATTTGGATACATTGTTATAGGAAAAAATTAGCCAGCCGGCTAGTTGAAAACGGCTTTACTAACAAAATAATGACTCAAATTGGATCAATCTAGTAGATTCTAGTTAACAAACCCAGTCCTTCTAAATCTAAAATCAGAACTAAATTAACTCGAATTTATTGACCACACAAATAAGAAGAAATGGTTCTTTAAACACAATTACGGAAAACGTTCGTTATTTCTACTAGGTTACGAATTAACATACAACAATCAAACTCCGATTTACATTTCTATCGCACACATACATATTCAGAAGGTGAAAATAAAACGACATAGCAAAATGAATCACGGTTAGCAGGCAAACACTTACCTGTTCTCTTGTCCGGATCCGCCGCTTTTGGCGCTACAGATGCTCTTCGTTTCGACATTTCCGTCCAGGTCAAACGTCGTCTCATAGTTGTCTTTGTACTGTGAGTTGGGGCCACGGTTGGGCTCCTGCTCGTTATAGACGGAGTGCTCGTCGCGTATGTAATCGTCTTTCGAGTCGTTCATATGTGGGGACATCATGAGCGATTCGTTGTCTAGTTTGAGGGTGTTGTTGTTGTATGGCTGTGTGTCAGCGGTGTAGGGGTAAGTGTCGTGGGACACGGGGCTTATCGCGGTGGGGTATTCCGCGTCGTTCGCGTTCGCATCGAGATGCTCCGGCTGTTGCGAGGCCAGGGAAGTCGGCGACATCGCCCCGCTGTCGCCGGTCGATCTAACGTATAAAATAGAACAAGCGCATGTCGTGAGCCAGTGACAAACATGCAAAAGAAAAACAATGATAGATGACGAACGTAAACACAACATTGATCAAGCTCTTAGAAGGTTAACACTCAGTTGCAAGCTCTAAGACCAAATAACAAAATAACATTTTATTGTTTAAACTTTAAGTGATAATAGCATTAAAAACTAAGAATCGTTCTTGCAACTGACTGTAATATAAATAAAGTGAGTTTATGAGTGTTCGGTGTCGTGGGGCTAAATTGCGAGGATAAATTAAGTTTCAGGTGATAACTACACGTCTAGTCTATTTATTACTATACATCGGTGTCTATGTACTAAAATGTAATTTGTGGGCGTACCTGTCGTATATCGATCCGGAGCCGTAGTTTTGTGATTGGGAAAGATTTCTATTGATGAGGTTCTCTTGTGCCGGGTCGACGAAGCGGAAGGTTGAAACGCGACCAAATTTCAGCAAGCAGCCGTGCTAATAAAAAAAGAAAGTCTATTCACTATTTATGATGTACCAATTTAAATTGAGAGACAAGAATAAGGCATTCTGTGAGGAAATGCTCTAGTAAGAATGTGCTACCTATTTAACAATGGATTGTCAAAAACTAGACTGATGAACGCTTTAAAGCTGTTCCATCGGTGGACGGTGGTTAAGTCACTCGGACAGAATTTAAGTATTCTTGCCAACCACTTAAATTCCCTACATTCAGAAGTTAGAAACAAAATGCCCAGAAAATTAATAAATCATATATTCGATCAGATGGGAATCGAATTTCCGACCTCGGTTATTAGCTATATATATACCAATGGACAAACGAAGCAGAATTTGTTCGACAGGAAAAATTAAGCACTTTATAATATATCTTTGTATTAAACAAAGATTTACATAAAATTGCAATAAAAAGTACACGAACGCGAAGACTCGTACAAAGTAGGTACCTGTCCCAATTATGTCAGACTGTATTCTAAGTATTATTGCCAGGCGAACGAGCCCGCCTTACATATTTATTGGTTCAATCGTACTGAATAATAATAAAATAATTTCGGCCCATTAAAAACGATATAAACTGGAATATTTCTGTCGCTTTTACAGCTCGCAATCCTTGTTCCCTCCAGTGAAACCTTTCTTGCGTCTCCAAACCCAGCCCAAAAGGCCTTATATTAAAATTGCTTGGAAATATTATGTAAATTATTTATATAAAACACTTTAACGGTTTAAAACGCAATATATAAGTTAAACTTATTAGAAAATGATATTTAACTTCGGCCCGACGTTTCGGATGCTTTGCAGCAGTTGGAGAGACCGTTAAAGAGTTTTATTTAAATGTGTACTACTCGCGTAAACTATAGACAGTATGTAAATTGTTCCTTTTAAATAAAACTCTATGCCTCCCGACTCCCACTCGCTGTTCACCTGGTGCATAACTTACCTGAAGTCTAGCGCTATGCATCGTGCGTCGCCCGTTGACATACACTTGTGCATCAGCGTGCAAGGGCGTGACCGTGTAACCGCCACCATCCGCAGTGGCGACCACGCAGTGCCGCGGCTGGATTGAGGGGCCGTACAGCTGTAGGGCTGTTCCGTTGCCAGAGCCAACCTAGTTTAAAAGGGACAATTTAAAAATATTATAGAATCTATGCTAATATTATATAGTTGAAGAGTTTGTTTGAACGCGAATCTCAAGAACTAGATTGGAATTGAAAAATTACTTTTGTATTGGACAAATCATTTATCGAGGAAGGCTATATCGTCAGGCGACCTATAGACGCGATGAAACAGTGGGGAATTTGTAATAAAACGGTGAAAATTATTCATCTTAGATATCTCAAATTCTCAAAAAATATATAAATTATACTCTGTAAATAATCAGATCAGTAGTAAAATTTAATCGAAATTTCATATGGCAAAACTACGTTTGTCAGGTCAGCCAGTATAATAATATAACAGAAATTCTTGTATTGTTATTTATAAACTTTTGAACAAATATTTTTATTTTGCTTGATATGTTCTACGGTCGCAACGACATCTTTCAATGTGAGTTGTGATATATCCCTCTGGGGAATATGACGAACTGGTTCCTTTGTCCGTATCTTAGTAATCCTTTTTAATTCTTTATAGACATTTGATCAGACTACGGTGAGTTTTCGAAGCAAGACAACATTTAACGAAACTAAATGCAAAACAACACGGATAACTTCTGCTTTTCTGTATCTATCCTATGTAAGAATATATGTCTTTGAAATAATTCCCAAAAGATATTATATTATGAGATCCCAAGAAAATGTTACCCGAAGGCAATATTGCATAAAGCATTGGAACGTTATGTGTGCTTTCAGAAAATTGACAGTCTAACATATGTTTAACACGTCACAAACGTACACGTTTCGAATATTAAGCTTCCCTTGACAATTCAGAAATTTAGTTCAGCAAATATTTAACACATTATAAATGCGATAGTATTTTTTCGTTTGTTAAATTGTCAGTTGCATTTAACACACAGATCCAATTGACTATGAGTAGAAAGTTAAAAGGAGAGTAAAATCTTAGGTACTGGAAAATATGTATAAATGTATATACAAAAACATTTAAGAGTTTATCACGTGGTTGGCATGTTAGCCCTACATTAATGGCTTAGGCGAAAGTGGTCGTACAAAAGACACTCGGAACGTCTTGCATTATTTGTCCATTTGATTTCTTGACCAATGACTTCTATCTATACTAATATTATAAAGCTTTATTTGTTTGCTCAAGTTCATATTGAAAAAATATTTTTGTTGATCAAACCACTTCAGTCTATAAGCTATAAAACATCAGGGAGCGGGAGAAATGTGGAATAAGCGGGCTTTTATTGCATTCACAAAACCAAAAAATATGTATTATTTTTGAGTGATCTATAAAATATCCAACGACAGTATACATATATCTATATTTTAATGTTAACGCACGATACGACGGGACACAGGTGACGTCGTTGGTAACATCAACAGCTATCATTTATAAACCTGAGGAGGTTTGCAAAAATAAATAATGTGATGTCCAAAATAACTATTCCACGGGGACGTAGTCGCGGGCAACTGTCTTAAAGCTAGATCACTATAGCTTAGTGCTGCATCGACCTAATAATAGCGCATATACATCTGTAGCACAAGAACAGGTGGCACTCAATATTAGAGCACCTGTCATCTCAATTCTCCGCTGTCAATTGAGGCAGCACAAATTCGATTTAAGTGAGCGAGGCGCTGTGTGCAGAACTGATGAGCTTAGCTTTGTCAATCGGCTGATTTATGTTAATTTTGACACGAGAATAAAGACACGTTAAAGTGTGTTATTTAACATTTTCTACAGGTAGGGATCGGTCGGCTATAGAGGTGTGTCCGTTTCAAAGATCGGTTTATTTAAAAGTCTTATATGCCCTGCCAATCAAAGCAAACTACTGTTTCCCCGGGATTCGACCCAAGAAAATCTCGGGCTTAACGCAATGCGATTAACCATTTAGTTACAGTTGCTACAGTACGATAGTTGTGTCACTGTGTACGAGTAGTACCAAAATTAAATACGATTATTTTAAAAAGCCAGGTTCGAATTTCTAATCTTTAAATAATAAAAGTTGGCATAGCGCGTTGTTTTGACAGTTGATACGAGTTTTTTATCGGAGTCCACACATGAGACTGCAAAGAGGTCATCAAAGACAGACATAGTCTAAAGTAAGTCAAATGACTTACCGAGTACAAAGTACTAGAGTGAGGAATTCAATTTTAAATTCTTTATACTTTGTTTACATTTCCAACAAATACAAACTTAGAACGCCGCAGTGCGCTTCGCTAAAATATTGAATTTCTCTCGTCTATGTATACACAAGTCAAGATGGATAACGCCAGTTGTGAATCATTAGATTAACGAATATACGGACGAAAGTTCAACTTAAAATCCTATCGTACCGATGATACGTACTTTATTTTGAACAAAATAGGATTTATGCTTAAACTTTAAAATAGTTGAAATTTTACATTTCCTATAAGAATAGTCAGAGTAGAAACGTCCAGTAGAGTGATAGTACCTATCTAAAGTGGTAATAAATAATTTTATAAACGTGCATATTTTATTTATGTTTCTATAAAATGTTGTGGTAAGAAACGCATCATGTAATCCCACCTTTAAACTCTATATCGTAAATATCCGATTGTAAACAAACATTTTACAACTTAAATAAATACCCTCATATTTTAACTTAAACTAGTTCTATTTAAAACTCGCAATGCACTGAAGTATTTTTTATATTATACTATGTATATGCTCATAGGTGATTGTATATATAATTTTTGAGAATTAATTCTTTAAACCTAAACCTAATTATCCCGGTCTATCCAACAACTAACCTCAACAATATCAGTGACGCGAACTCTCCTCCCGTTTTCCAAAGCAGCTCCATCTGGCGTTACTTCTATCAGCATGGGCTCTGTGCCGGGGCGTGCGCCCGCGCTAGCGTTCGAGCCAGCTTTTTTCTTTCTACGTCGTGGCTGCGCGTCCGAAGGCCGCCGCCTCACGTGGAACATGATGGAGCCTGGGAATTAACAAAAAAAGTAACGGTTTAAAATAAATATTAGATACGAAAAAGACGAAAATACTAAGGTTTCGGAATCACTTCACTGTAGTCATAACGCTTAAAAGCAGAATTTCCTAATGTCCAAAGCCAAAAAAGGTCGACCGCACATCTATTTAGATATTTTATGGTTGGAGTATTTTACCTTCCATCAAGCGAACCCCATGCTTGTCTGTTTTCCTCCATCACAGAAATACAACAAAATTACGTATTTTGTACGATAAGTGATAAATGTTTTCGTAAACCTCATATCACTTAACAGAGAATTGCTCCCGGATGATTTCCGAGCTTCGAGGGCTCCATTAAGCTGCAAGGTACGCAGACGGTACTTTAAGTGTGCTCCAGCCACGCCCGTGATGCATGGCAGACGGGCATCGAAACGGCTCTAGTGTCAACGTCGTTAGTTTCGCGTGTCGTTAGGTTTTCGTCTACACTATAAGAGTCATAAGCCACTAACAGCGTAACGTAATGTTCTATTGATCATTGGTCTTTTGTCTCTAGATGTTAATATAATAATTTGGAACAACGAAGTTAGTAGGAGACCACAGCCTTAAAGCGTATAGTTAAATAGTAAACTACGTATATAACATACGCGTGACGGCAACGCAAAAAAGAAAAAAAAAACTCTTAGTTATGCTAAAAGCAAGGCCTTCTGTTTAATATTTTCTATTATATCCAGTATTGTTTACTCAATAGGAGAACAAAAATACAAACCAATAAAAAAAATAATATCGCTGTAAATGAAGCCCCGAAATTATGAAAAGATAATACATATAGTAAAAATTATTGTCATTATAATATATATGTAGAGGTGAATGTTTGGCTAGAGAGATGATTACTTTGATAAAACTTTCCGACTCCATTTGTGACGTTTACTTTATGAACATCTTCGCAAATCGAATTTTGAAGTCTTTTCGAGCGATAACTCTTAAGATATTGAATTACACACGAACGTGGTAGACTGTTTATCGACTTAAACCATGTTTTTGTTAGTTTTTACCATAATATGACAGGCTGTCTAGCTTGGGGTCATGAAATATCGGTAACGATATGGTAACTTTTATTTATTATGTTTAAATTAAATTCAGCAATATGTATTATGAATATAGCCCATACTTCCCATTTATGTATGTAATTATAGGATGTATGGAAAGTACTTTTGTCTACCTTTTCATCGTATAGATATAAAATTTTGTTATATGAAGCGATGACGAATAAAAGCAAGGACAGAACTTACGATATGAAATAGCTTTAGCTAAGTAATTACTCGAGTATCGTTGAAACAAATTGGCATTCTTGGAATGAAATTAACACTCTGGCTAATTAAATAACAAAATTGTATGTATTCGCATTACCGAGCAATATCTCCTTATATCCGTATCGTATAGACCTTAGGGATGTCTTAAAGATCATTTCAACTTCACGAAACGTGACTCCAGGTTGGCTGTCGGAATCTAACTGCGCCACCGATACGTAATAAAGTAAAAGCTACAATTCATTTTTTATTAAAAGAGGTGTAATTCTGAGCTTGCGCACGTAAGTATTATAGGAAGGAATAAGCCACACACATGCCTTTGTTGGACTTCAGTGCAGGCCTGCCTCAGTACCTTTCTTGTAGAAAGTCCAGTGCACGAGGTCTGGCCAAGTACATACCAACCTAGCACTTGATTTGCAAATCTTTTTTCTAAAACTTTGTTACAATACTATATTATGAACGATAAATAACGTTACCTTATTTACAATTAATGTGAATATAATATAAACACAGCGACCAGCGCAATATGAATAATTGCTAAGTATTGGGTTTTCGTTAGCCTCGCTCAATTTTCCCACGGAATAATTAATGGCTTGACCGATATATCCTAAATCCGTCAAGTACAATTCATAGCTCATCTATATAATTAAAAATAAAACAACTTAACTACTGTCTCAAGTTCACGCGAGTAGTACACGTTTAAATAAAACACTAACGGTTTAAAACGCGGTATATATCAATATAAGTAAACAACTTTCTGTAAACTACAACTATCCATTTTAAGTATTGATTTTTACGCGATTAGTACACAAAAAAACAATAAACAAGACATTTCAAAAACGAAATACGTGCGTACGTATAGTATTTTTTCTTGCAAGTAGTCAAATTAAAAATCAATTATAAATTGAAAAAAACTCCGACTCGGGCAGGATTTGAATTGGCATCCACAGCGTTCCGTGCTCTCTAACCATGATATGTATCAATAGGTAATAGTTCGACGATGACATTTAGCACTCGGTAGCTCAATTGGTTAGAGCAACAGCACTGAACGCTGTAAATGTCGGTTCAAATCTTGCCCGAGTCGTATTTTTTTTCTTTCAATTTATTTTTAATCTATATAATGCAAACATGTGCAATGACATGTGAAAAATATTAAAGTAGATAATTCGTGCTGATCTGACCTCTTTGCCAAATCCAACCATTCCATTCGGAATGGAAAGCACTCGCAATAATTAAATGAGTCAAAGCGTCTATCAACTGACATGGTGGCGTTGGTTGGTTAGAAAGAAGGGTTCGATTAAAATTGCCGTACAAAGGTGACCGACCGTTCGATCTTACAGGGCACATTCGCGTGCTTAGCTGTCCTTGCGTGTCCAGTGACGACTTGGGACGTTCACTAATGATTCAACCTGTTGCAACCTATTTAACAACTATAGTAATTAAATATGCCCTTATGAAGTTCGTAACGTATTTTCTATATATTGGGCCTACAATAAAATCATTCAAATATGGACCTTACAGTCAGAAATCACTTGTTTATTTAATTAATTCAAAGAGGCTTACCTTACTTGATATAAACTTATGTGAAGATTGTGTATTAAAATCAAAGGTATGCACAATATATAAAGAACATTGTTGGTATATATACCAGTATAGAACATGAACTTTAAGCATAGATACTTCTTCTTTTAACTTTAGTCACAACAAATATTCTAGAAATTAGGTACACGTTTAAAAAAGATATTTTTGCACGATGCCATTTCAGCACAACGTATTTACATTGATATTTTAAACCTTTAATATTTTCACATGTTATTTTTGTCCTGAAATGATGGCGCAGTTTAAATTAAAATCGAACATAGATTGATAGTTGATTTTTTTTCCCCGACTCGGGCAGCACGATGCCGGTTCAGGTCCTGCCCGAGCTGAAAACTTTTCAATTTATTTTAGATATTTAAAAATTATGATCGCATTCAAAATATCAACGTTTATTACATCGTTATTTTTAATACGATCGACGAACGAATTTGTTTTACAATATTTATCAAAGCCTACGTAAAGTCTAGTGAAAACAATGTATAAATAATCCTGTTTCATAGAAAATAAGGTCAGCTGCTATATCATCTGCTATGTACCGTGTAGTCAGATCAAATGTTTCGCCGATTCATCAAAACAGATCAAAGCAATAAATACGAGTTTGTATGACTTAGGAGGGGCAGGAACTGACATTGTGTGTACAGCGACGTACGTGCACACAAAGGAGAGCAAACTACGAAGTACGTTTGTATTTTAGGGCTGGGCTTACTATGAACTTGGATAGATCTTTATTGATAAAGGTCAGTGGGTTTATTTGCGTTCTCTCTTCACTGATGGAACTGTACTAAAATCTTTGTTTTCTGTAATACACACAAATTGTCGCAATTATAATTTATACGTACTATAAATTTCATGTAGTCTATGCAATTTGATAAAACAGTCTAAACGGTTTAAAACGCAATATATATTAGATACATTTATAAAATTAATTAACTTATTTAAAAAAGTTTAAAACTTAATCAAGAGTTGCACACTCCTTATAACTAAATTTACTTCGAGTTTTAAACAGTTTAAAGTGATTTGTTATATTTTTAATGTTTACGAGTACGTTTTTATTCCTTTAAATAACTACTCGCGAAAAGCAATTCAAATAAATTATTGCTGTACGTGACACTAGGATATGCATTGTAATGTTTTCGTAATTATTGATACTATCGTTTTGAAATAAAGTTTAGCCATAACTTACTGCTGCAGTAGTAAATATTAAAGAACGAAGCAAAGTCGCGTCTTTTTATTCCATAAAACTTTTTAATGAAACACAAGATTACCAGAACAGAGGTAAAAATTGATGGTATGATACACCATCAATTCTTACTTCTGTTGATAGCGAATTTCACCAGTATTCATGAATATATGTATACAGAGTTCTATTAACAGAACTCCGTATATTTTCATTAAAGGATTATCTTTTCAAACCCCCTACGAAAAATATTTCGCTATAATTACGAATTTTCATATTTCACAATGAGCTGTATTGACATTGAATTTGAAATGAACTCTTGGTTCATTATACGAAATTTACCTCAAAAATCATGTCGCTTCTCCAAATTTTCCCTAAAAAAATATTCCAGGCCGGTTCGGGAAATTATGTTATAGAATTCAATTACCGTTCAGTTTGTTACCGGAGCTTTTGTAATAAGCTATATCGGGAAAAAGGTTCCTAATAGCTTTTAAAAATAAGAACTTAGGAAGCAGAACACGTTCTACTTCCACCTTTAGAAAGGTCACGCCCGAATGGCCTTTACTATTGTACGTTTTATCTGTGGAACTTTCGATTTCGCTTTCGGACTCTACTCGTCATTGTGATGATGAAGCGATGTTTTTTTGTGATTTATCTCCACTAGTTACGTAGTATACATAGTTACAAGTATGACCGTAATACCTATAACTTTCGTCCAGATCTTCAAGCTTTAACTCATAAAGCGGTGGTTCCAAGCCGAAATCGGTGCCTCCCAATGGGGCGCTGTTGGTCCAGTCGCAGACTGAGCAAAGGCTTTATGAAAACGAATTTTTGAACTGAGTGTGCGTCATAAATCTAAAAACATGACAATAAATAAACTCTATCTTTTAAAAAGTTGAAGACCTCAAAGAATTAACTTTCATATTTACT